TTTTTCCCTTGACACAGCTTAGAGATTCAGATTGCCTTCCAAGAGAATGCACAGCTTTCCCTTGCTCTGTCGAGGGCTGCCTGCAGAAGGCCCTACTGTGTGGCTGCACTGTCCCTTGCCCAGCCCTGCCATACATCGGGCTGCTGCTAGTCTTTGGCAACCACAATGGCCCTGAGCAGCTATCCTCATACGTGTGTGCATTCATCCCTGCAAAGACGTCCACTGGGTACCTTCCTAGAAGCCCAACAGCTCTGGTCTGCAGATGTATATATTTTTAATTTTGAGAGATTGCCAAATTGCCTTCCAAAGAGGGTATATGAATTTAAACTCTCACTTACTGTCAAACTGTTTGATCTTTACCGACCTCATAGGTTTGAAAAACAGATTCTCATTGTTGATTTTATTTATGGATGGAAAGGTTCCAAAAGGGAATTCTGATATAAATAGCAGGAGAAATTCCTGGGAAAGGAGGGAGCTTCGTTTTATTGTGCTTCATTTTTAGATAATAAGAGCATAGTGTGAATGCTGCTTTATTCACTTCAGTGTGGTAGAGCTCAGGGAGAATCCAGCCAAGAGGATGAGCTGCAAAAGGAAAGAAACAGAGCTTCCTTCATGAAAGAAATTACTGAAGAGATGTCATTATGCAAGAGGGCTCATGGTGAAAATGAGATTTATGCGTTCTTGCACAAAGATGATGAAAACCACTCCTTGGCAGCTTTTCTCACTGCAGTCAGCTCCCACACTGTGCCTGAGTGGCCACCGGTCCTCCTAGCTGAGTGCAAACACACTGGTGGTCCTGAGGACAAGGACTGCTTACATCTCCGCTGCTGTCCAGGAATCTGTCGTGGGTCTGAAAGTGAGAATCGTCTCACTGAGTTTGTGCCTGATGTGTATGCAGGAGTGAAGCATGGCTGGGAAGAGGGGGAGCTGCAGGGGAGAGTTGCAGAGCTGACTCCTGGAGCACTCGGGAACACCATTCAGACGCAAGACCTTTTCAGAGTTGGTGATGGGTACATTTCTGGACCTTTGCCTGTCTGCTTCCCTTAGGGAGGTACAGGTATAATTCTAGAACATTCCCAGCCCAGGATGCCAGGAAAGTTTAGTGTAAAAGACTCCAACAAAGATTTCATTGAGTTGTTCCCTGCTTCGCTTAATGTCTCCCATGGCTCTGTGGTCTTTACATTGACCAGAATTTGACCATGTCCCCACAGGGAACTTTCTGGTCTGTGCAGGGAAAAATTGATGTTATGAAAAGTTTCACCTAGGCTAGACACTGTGGCTTATGCCTGGAATCCCAGCACTTTGGGAGGCCAAGGCAGGAGGGATAGCTTGGGCCTAGGAGTTTGAGGTTACAGTGAGCCGAGATCACACCACTGCACTCCAGGCTAGACAACAGAGCAAGACCCTGTCTCAAAAAGAAAAAAGTTTCACCCAAACATCAGTGGTGATGATTGCATAACTCTGAATATACTAAACCACTGAATCACATGCTTTAGATGGGAGGATGCTATGGTGTATAGCATCTCAAAACTTTTGTCTAAAAAAGCTGTTAATTTTTTTTTTTAACGCAGTTTCACTCTGTCATCAGGCTGGAGGGCAGAGGTGAGATCTTGGCTCACTGCAACTTCCTTCTGCCTCCTGGATTCAAGCCATTCTCCTGCCTCAGCTTCCCAAGTAGCTGGGACTACAGGCACACACCACCACGCCCAGCTAATTTTTGTATTTTCAGTAGAGACGGGGTTTCATCATGTTGGCCAGGATGACCTTAATCTCTTGACCTCATGATCCATCTACCTTGGCCTCCCAAAGTGATGGGATTACAGGTGTGAGCCACCGTGCCCAGCCAAAATTTTTAAACATCGACATTAAAAGATATATTAGTCCATTTTCTTGTTTATTTATTTATTTATTTTGAGACTGAGTTTTGCTCTTGTTGCCCAAGCTGGAGTGCAATGGCTTGATCTTGGCTTACCACCACCTCTACCTCCTGTGTTCAAATTATTCTCCTGTCTCAGCCTCCCGAGTAGTTGGGATTACAGGCACCCACCACCACTCCCAGCTAACTTTGTACTTTTAGTAGAGACAGGGTTTCATCATGTTGGTCAGGCTGGTCTGTAACTCTCGACCTCAGATGATCTGCCCACCTTGGCCTCCCAAAGTGCTGGGATTACAGGCGTGAGCCACCGCACCTGGCCCTATATTAGTCCATTTTCATGCTGCTGATAAAGAGATACCCAAGACTGGGTAATTTACAAAAGAAAGAGGTTTAAGGGACTTACAGTTCCACATGGCTGGGGAGGCCTCACAATCATGGCAGGTGAAAGGCACATCTCACATGGCAGCAGACAAGAGAAGAGTTTGTGCAGGGAAGCTCCCCTTTATAAAACCATCAGATCTCTGAGGCTTATTCACCACCATGAGAATAGCACAGGAAAGATCTGCTCCCATGATTCATTTACCTCCTAACAGATCCCTCCTATAACACGTGGGAACTGTGGGAACTGCAATTCGAGATGAGATTTGGGTGGGGACACAGCCAAACCATATTAAAAAATAACTATCTTTTTAAAAAATAAGGTGACAAAAGTACCTCCCATGCCCAGATGTTTAGGGGTTATCGTGTGAGTTTCTGGAACCATAAACACTTAGCAGCAGCCCTGCGGCGGCCCTCACTGGGGCACTTCAGCCCAGCCAGAGAAGGGCCTGAACTGCACACACAGTTCTTAGATTCAGCTCCTCTCACCTTACCTAAAGACAGCAAGGAGGATAAAATAGCCTACTGAGAAAATTGCCCTTTGCTGATTTTAAAAGAAAATGCCTGTAACTGCTTAGAAAGCACAGTTTACATATTTTTATATATAAATCCCCTACCTTAATACATATGTGCGAACATATCCTGTGTACAGTAGGTTACAGTGAGAATGTTAAGTATATGCATCTGCCATACAGTAAAAAGAAATGGATTTTTTAAATTAAAAAGTAAAAGAATAAGTATAATTTATAGTACTATTTAATTTTATTGCCTATTTTTGACTGTTTATAGATTAATTTTATTAACTTTGTATGATGGGACCTTGCTCACTGTTTAGGAATATAGTATTCATTTCATTGAAGTTTAATCATTTATTCAGATGTAGCATGTTAACATGAATCTGATCTTCTCAATCGCCATAGATATTCCAAGTGGTTTCTTGTGTAATGACAGTCAGCCCTCCATTATCTGTGGGCAGGTTGTCCTCTCTGGGGTTCACCTCTGGAAGAATTTCAATCCTGGTCAGACCTTTCTCTCATCCCAGCAGAATGTAGTTGGGAAGATAAACCTTCTTGTAACCCTGGCAGCATTCATCCCGGGGCGCTGGCCAGTGGATAGGAGTGTTGAAGTCCTGAGTCGGAGTTTCTTGGTTCCACTCTGGCTCTGGATGAGTCACAGGCTCCCCAGGCTCTGGTCCAGAAGGTAGGTGGAGGGCCATGAACTACCCTCGGAGGCTGTTTCAAACATAGGCTGACCCTGTGGTGGCCCAGTGCCCGGCCCACAGGGAGTTCTCCATCAGGCGAGTTGCTGTTGTGATCTGAGAGTTTGTGTTCCCCCGTCATCCATCTGTTGAAATCCTCACCTGCAAGGTGATGTTATTAGGAGGTGGGGCTTTGGGGAGGTAATTAGGTCATGGGGACAGGGGCCTCACCAATAGGATGAGCGTGCCCTTATTTAAAAACTCCAGAGAGACCCCGCCCCTTCCGCCATGTGAGGTTGGAATGAGAAGTTGCTGTCTGTGAGGAACGGGCCCTCACCAGACACTGAATCTACCGGCACCTTGATCTTGGAATTTATAGCCTCCAGAACTGTGAGAATAAATTTCTGTGGCTTATTACCCAGGTGTCTGTGGTATTTTGTTACAGCAGCCCAAGCCAACTAGGACAGTTCTTGTGAATGTGCCTGAAACCCAGTGACGTTTCTATGATCCATACTATTGCTTCCCTCCATGGATATGGATACACACTCATCACTTATTCTGTTCCACATACATTTATTGAACAGGACTGGGTGCACACACACTGAGGAATACAAAGATAGAAGCACCAGCCTGCCCTTGGTGGGGACTGTGGGTGTCCCATGATGTGAGACCACTGAGGTGGGAAAATAAACCTCCTCCTGTGCTGTACTTGCAGGAGGCACATCTGCCCCAGGCAGGGACTGGAGCTGACTTTGAGGTGGGGAGGTTTTCCTAAGCGGTGGGAGAGAGGATGAAAGGACAGAGGGATGACGGGATGGGATGTGCGCAGGGCAGGAGAGAGGAAATCAAGGATCCCTTATCACAAACTGGGAGTGGAGGACTCTGGAAGGCAGAACCAACACAACAGCTAACTTCCTATTTGGAAAAATATTATTTTGAAATACAAATACAGAAAGTCAAGTGGAACGAAGTCTTCTTGACTCATAGGCCTACCTTCAACAAAAGGATTCTGCAGTGGCCAAGGGGCATGAGGTGGTTTTATTCTTGCTGTCGTAAAAGTAGTGCTTATTGAAGGTCAAGCTCCTGCCGTATGGAGGAAGCCTGTGGAAGCAAAGACCCCAGCACTTGTCCCAGCTGCCCCAGGGGCTGCTGTCACTTCCTATGGTGTTCCTAGATGTGTGCTCTGCAAATCATGGAGTGCATAGAGGTAGGGACTTCTGGATGTCCCAAGGCGGTTGAGTTTCATTGCAGGCCTTTGCTATTATGGACATTGCCACAGTAAAAGCTGCCTCCTGCAAGTACAGCACAGGATAAGTTCCCAGCGGTGGAACTGCCAGCCCAAGACATGTGACACAGACTTTCTGGGTTTTTTTTTGTCACGGGGGAAGAAAGGGTGCACCATTCTTCAGCTATTCCCGGGGAGGGCCACATCCACCCCTGCAAGCACCTGGGAGCCCTTTGTGATGCCACCTTGGTGCATCCCCAGAAGCGTTTTCTTCCAAACAGGAACTATTTTATTAATGCTCCATTTTTTTTCTCTTTGAACAGGAATCTTTGCCTACATGAACTATAGAGTCCCCCGGACAAGGAAGGAGATCTTTGAAACCCTCATCAAGGGCCTGCAGCGGCTGGAGTACAGAGGCTACGACTCGGCAGGTGGGTCTGTAGCTACCTGCCTTGTTTCTGGGGATGGGGCTTCCCTGCTCTGCCCTCACCCATCTCCTCTGTAGGAGGTAGGCCTTTTTCTGCTACTTCTTTATGTTTCTTTTCAATATAAAAATAACACTGTCTGGTAAAGAAATTTGAAACCTATAGAAAAATAGAAAGAAGAAACAAGGGTAAAAAAAAAACAGGCAAGCCCCTTCCTCAAAAGTTCCCCCATCAGAAAGCAGAGAGGGTACAAGGTTGTAGCCATGCAGCATGAGTAAGTCCTGGACAGCTGCTCTGTAGCGCGGCGCCTGACCATAATGACACTGTATTGTGCACATAAAAATTTGCCAAAAGGGTAGATTTTTTATTTTTTATTTTTTTGTCCCTCAGGCTGGAGTACAGTTCCAAGAAATTGGCTCACTGCAGCCTGAAACTCGTGACCTCATGCCATCCTCATCCTCCTCAGCAGCTGGGACTACAGGCGCACACAACCTCACCCAGCTGGTTTTTTATTTTTTGTAGAGATGAAGTCTTACTGTGTTGCCCCGCATGGCCTCAAACGATCCTTCTGCCTCTGCCTCCCAAAGCACTGAGATCATAGGTGTGAGCCAGCGAGCCCAGTCAAGAGGGTAGAGCTTATGTTAAGTCCTCCTATCACACACAACAATACCTAAGAGGGCAGGAGGAAGCTCTCGGAGGTGATAGGTTTATGGTGTAGCCTGTGGTGATGGTTTCATGGTAGTGCCCTGGACTCCAAGCCCATCAAGTTGTAGACATTATGCACAGCTTTGTGTATGTCAGCGCTACCTCAGTGAGGTGGCTTCATTAAAAAAGGACCCCTGTCAGTCTTTGAGTCCCTCCTCTGGTTGCTGTTGTCTGTTGGGATGGTCTGTGGCAGAGGAGGGTAGAGGTGTTATACACCGACATTTTTTGTTTTTACCTAATGATAATTATGTGGTTTTGTAATTTTACATTCTTCTCTTTTCACTTAGTGTTTCTATGATCCTAAACTCTTTCTAAGTAGCTTTCTCAGTGGCTACACAATGCTTCACTGGGTGGCTGTCTCAGAGTTCAGGCCTCCATTCACTACAGAGGTGGATGTTTAATCTGTTTACCCTGTTTAATTACACAGCCCAAGGAGAGAGGGGGAGCCAGATGATTTTAGATCCCTGTCAACACTTAATGGGAGGCAAGTCTGATGGGAGGAACACTAAAGCAGTGGAGATACTGGCAACAATATCACAATTCGGAGAACCCTTGGGATAAATACCCTGCCTGGGACATTGCCATCAGCAGGGGCCTGGTAGTGCCTGCTGTGGGGAAGCGTCCCAAGGGGCTCACCCTGGGCAGGAACAGGGCTGGAGGCAGCTGTGGCCCAGGAGGAGGCAGGAGCTTCTCTACTTGCTGTTAAGCATGGCCACGGTCACAGCCTCTTCTTTCAAAGTAGATTTCCTGAAAACTGTACAGCTCTCCAACCTGCCGTAAACAGACAGCCCGGGGCATGCAGCCCTGACCCTGCAGAGCACCTGTGCCAGCTGTGTGAGACAAAGCTTAAGTCCCAAAATAACAAATAATGTCTACTTCACAGGTGTGGCAATCGATGGGAATAATCATGAAGTCAAAGAAAGACACATTCAGCTGGTCAAGAAAAGGGGCAAAGTTAAAGCTCTTGATGAAGAACTTTACAGTAAGTAGAAGACCTCTGAGTCGAAGGAGCGAGTGCAGCAGGAGCTGCTTTATAGGATTATATTCCAAAAGCATGGGAGACCAAAATTCTACGCTTGTCCCAGTTCAGATAAACAGAAGGAGCATTAAGCCCATGCTGTAAAACTGTGCTTCACAGGATGTGGGATGGTTTATTTTAGGTGGTGGCAGCACATGGATAATTTTTTTTTTTTGAGACGGAGTCTCACTCTGTTGCCCGGGCTTGAGTGCAGTGGTGCGAGCTTGGCTCACTGCAACCTCCGCCTCCCAGGTTCAAGTGATTCTCCTGCCTCAGCCTCCTGAGTAGCTGGGATTACAGGTACCTGCCACCATGCCTAGCTTATTTTTTGTATTTTTAGTAGAGATGGGTTTCACCACGTTAGCCAGGATGGTCTCGATCTCCTGACCTCATGATCCGCCTGCCTCAGCCTCCCAAAGTGCTGGGATAACAGGCGTAAGCCACCGCACCCGGCCAGATAATTTTTTTCTAAGTGTTTAATAGTTATATGCCGTAGTTCTTTTAATCATTCTGGCAAATGATACTGCTTTTCTGTTTGTAGTAAGGATATAATCATTTTCTTTTTAAAGGAAATTTATTTCTGTGAAGAAGTGAGCTAAATTACAGAGAAGTAGTAAACAGTCCTCAGCACAGGTGGTTTGTGGGCCAACCCAGACTCCCGTGGTGGGACCTGCCATACCTCACCCCAGGAGTCCGGGGTGCAACACCAGCAAGAGCACCTACCTGGCGGGTGATGTGACTTGGTGTAACAACACCAGGTCGACTTCACAGTCCCAGGTCAAGGATTGTTGTTAAAGTGCAGCAAACTGATTTTCCTTTCATTTAGAACAAGACAGCATGGACTTAAAAGTGGAGTTTGAAACGCATTTCGGCATTGCCCACACTCGCTGGGCCACCCACGGGGTCCCCAGTGCTGTCAACAGCCACCCCCAGCGCTCCGACAAAGGCAACGGTACGTGGCATACTTCCCTGTCCCCATGGTTCCACCTCACCCTGAGCTGTGTCAGGGCCAATCCCTGCCAGAGCAAGTTCCATGCCCACCTGTAACTGACTGCTCAGCCTGCTTCATCTTCCCAAGAGAATGCAGGTGTCCCATATCCCAGAGCTCTGCTGGTGGCCTCAGGAGGCAGGCAGTTTGGTCCTAGGGTGGTGCTGGCCTCCCGAGAATGTGCAGGAAAATAATGGCACTTAACCAGGAGAGCTGCTGGCTCCTTGGAACCCAGGCCATGAGTGGGATGAGGCCTCGTGAGGGACTGAGGGACCTGGGCACTGTTCCTCCCCAAAAGATGGAAATGTTCCCCAAGGCTGTGCCCATCAGGGAAGGATGGGTTCTGTCCTCGTGCAGCTAAACCCACCTCTTCCCCACAGAGTGGTCCAGGTGAGGGCAGGGGCTATACTGGTCTCGGTGTCTGAAGCACCATGGGCCCCAGCAGGAGACCTCAGCAGCCAGGGCTTAAGGTATGGAGAAGTAGGGGCTACAGCCAGAAGCCCAAGGGCTCTTGAGCCCCCAGCTCAGCTTGCTTCACGTTTTTAAAAATTGAGAATCACTGTGCATGAAAGTCCAGACTCCTGGCATTCCTTGAAAAACTGGAGGATCTGGAAACACTGAGCTGACGGCGCCTCGGAGCTCCACAGATTGGCAGCGGGCCAAGGTTGCTGCTACTGCTGTCCTCAGTGGGTTTCAGGCTCTCCTGTTCTCCCAGTCACCTCCTTAGGTCAGCTCACAGGTCCATGTCACTTGCCTGGATCCCCAGGACAGTTCTCCATGCACGATTCTTTTAAATGACACCCTTGTCCCCTCTCATGGGGGAAAGACTGGTAGGTCTGCAGCTCCTGGTGGCAGCTCTCAGGGGTCTGTGGTCAGCCCCCAGGGCACTGGGCCTCCTGCAGTGGGATGCAGTGGGCATGGAGCAACAGGAGAGAGGATCTAATCCCTGTCTCCTCCGAGGCCTTCAAGGGCAGGCAGCAGTCTAGGACATAACCTGGGCCTTCCAGGGTGAGACCTGGTCTGGTCTTAAGCCCCTGAAGCCCCCAACCTGGACATGCCAGGGGAGGGTGTATAGCAAAGAGAGTGATTTCTGGAGTCAGCCAGACCCCTCCCCCAAGACATCCTCTGGCATAGTGTAAGTTCTTGCTAAGCCTAATGTTAGATAGCACCAAATACATCAGAGCAGTTACTGGGGGCTTATTAGCAGGCACTAAGCCTTGACGCTTGACAAGTCCCACTGCAGTTAATCCTTGTGGAAGTCAGGCCACAGGAGCACAGCACCACCCTGCTTGGCGTCCCCTACTCACTGCAGATGTAACGGGGGGATGAGCATCCACCCCCACCACCAACAGAAAGTACGGTGGTACAGCTTCTCCCCAAAGCATTCTATAGGGCTTTACCAGCTCACCCTGCCCAATTTGGAAGTGAAGGCGTCCCCCAGAGAATGAAAGGAGAGCCCCACCCACCCTGCTCAGCAGAGTAGCTTGGTAGTAGCACAGGAGTCAGTGCTACTCATGTATCCATGTGGTCAGAGTCTTGAGGGAGTGAGGTTTTTGCTGGTGCCTGTTCCTTGGGTCTGGCCCATGCCTTGAACCACAGGGCATTTCATGACTGAAGCACATACCCTGTATCCATGAGGAGGACAGCAGATCCCACGGTGCTGAGGACCTAGAATGTACATCTGGCCAGAGCCCAGGTCAGATGCAGAAGCTGGTCCCTGGAGCAGTCATGCTGGCTGAGAAAACACTGCACCTAGACCATGTGCCCTGAGATGTTGCCACTTCAGCCATAGCTTCCTGCTCTCCCAGGTGACAAAATGAACCTCATCAGAAAACCCCCCACTTCAGTGCAATGTCTGGGTATGTCCCCAAAGCAGGGAAGCTCCAAGAAGACCCACCCACACCCAAACTTGGACACTGTAGCCCTGACTCAGGATGAGTAATTGAAGAGAAAAGAACAGAGCAATAAGCAGATTCATAAAATTTCATGAACAGCTCTGCAGTGATAGCTGAACTATACTACACGAGGATATTACACAAAGATTTTGCACAGACAACATGGATTCTAGAAAACAAGTTAATGATAGGATCATAGATAAAATGTGACAGAAGTAAGAGATAAGAGAATAGTGTAAAGAAACTATCACCCTAGATATGAAAAAAATGGGGAACGGGAGCCAGTTAATACGAATCCAACATATGAGTAACTGGTGTGCACAAGAAGCAATCAGAGCACAGAGAAGTGTGCACAGAAGTGGTCAGCATGTCTGTTGAAACTGGGCTTTTCTTATTCAAGCCTTCCCATTTTTGGGTGTAACCTCACAAAACAAACAATATGTTTTGTTTTTTGTTTTTTGTTTTTTTAGTAGAGGAAACCATGGTGAGAATAAAGAAAAAGGATAGTGGAAAAGGTTTTAAAAGATGCTGTAGGAGAAATCTTTGCTCAACTGAAGGAAAACTTGAATTGGAGATCTCAAGAAGGGATCAAAAATAGTCAGTAGGCGGGGAGCGATGGTTCATGCCTACAATCCCAGCACTTTGGGAGGCCGAGGCAGGGGGTGGGGGGTCCCCTGAGGTCAAGAGTTCAAGACCAGCCTAACTAACATGTGGAAACCCTGTCTCTACTTAAAAAATGCAAAAAATAGCCAGGCATTGTAGGAGGCACCTGAAATCCCAGCTACTCAGGAGGCTGAGGCAGGAGCATCACTTGAACCCAGGAAGGCAACGGTTGTGGTGAGCGAAGATCACACCACTGCACTCTAACCTGGGTGACAGAGCGAGTCTCTGTCTCAAAAAAATAATAATAAATAAGACTTTACAGTGATGCTTTGAAAAAAATAATTGTCAATATTTATGAAGTGCATCCAACATCTAGATACCTCCTGGTGGAATTATTGAACCCCAAGGGCAATATGGAATCTTTCTGTCCTCTGGGAGCAGAGGGAAGAGGGGCTCCTTGGCCAGAAAAATTATCAGGCTGGCCTTGGACCTTTCCCTTAAGGCACTCATGCACATGCTATTCATTGAGAAAATGCAGTGGGGTGGAGGCAGACACATCCCTCACTGCACCCCAGGGTCAGCAGGGTTGCCACCTGTACAGGAAGCCGCCCATGTGAGCAGGGTGTGTGGCAGGCCTGGGGGAGGTGGGAGAAGCTGCAGCCAGTAGATCCTGCTGTGCAGGAATGTGGCTGAGCCTGGGGATGCCAGAACTTCTGGGATTTTTCCCCCAAGAAAACCAAGATTTTAAAGTGAACACTCAGAATTTTAAAAACTCAAATATTGGGCCAAGTGTGGTGGCTCATGCCTGTAATCCCAGCACTTTGGGAGGCCGAGGCAGGTGGATCACAAGGTCAGGAGTTTGAGAACAGCCTAGCCAATATGGTGAAACCCGATCTCTACTGAAAATACAAAAATTACCTGGGTATGGTGGCGGGTACCTGTAGTCTCAGCTACTTGGGAGGCTGAGGCAGGAGAATCACTTGAACCCAGGAGGTGAAGGCTGCAGTGAGCCGAGATCATGCCATTGCACTCCCGTCTGGGCAACAGAGCAAGACTCTTGTCTTGAAAAAAAAAAAGCACAAATATTTTTACAACATAGTGTGGGTCAAACAAAGCATGTGGCTGAACTGTCAGTTGGGAATGCCTAAAGTCAGTTGGGAATGTCTGGAATTGTTTCTGGAATGAACGGTTCATCATCCCCAATGGACATGAACCCCAAAGCCTGTTTGATATTACAGTAGCACACAGGGGAGAGCTCTCTGCATGGTCAGGCTGGTGGTTGTCAGTCACTGAAAGAGGGATGTGTGTTTCCTAGGATTCACATTGTAGTAGCTGCTGCCGTCTAGACATCAGTGCTAATCCCTGTTTCCATGGTAGTAGATATCAGTGCTAATCACTATAAACAAAGTGCACTTAAGTCTTTGTGGGCCTGGAGTTTGCAGAGGGTTCTCAAGCCTTGAAATCATCTCTCTTCACATCTGACTTGAACTTCCTTCTCAATAGCATTTCTCTCTTAACTTTTCTTTCAGAATTTGTTGTCATCCACAATGGGATCATCACAAATTACAAAGATCTGAGGAAATTTCTGGTAAGATGCTTCCCCTAGGTAATGTCTCAATTCCATGATATTGGTCTCCCCAGAAACTTTCCAGCCAGCTCATTTCCTCACGGAAGGAAACCAGTGTGGGAACTGAGACCCACACTCAGCCACGTCACCATGTTGAGCAGAAACTTCTGCCTTGGCTGAGCCAGGCCCTGCAGATCTCATTTGAGGAGATAACAGGGCATTAGTATTTATCTCAAGGGGCGTTGCAGATTCCCAGAATCAAAATAACAGGAACTTAGTTTTATTAAAATGTCTGCATTATATAACACAGCCTCGGAGTTGGGGCGGGAAGTCAGACAGTGTCTAAAGTTTGAATGGCTTTGTGGTAATGGTTGGGATGTGGGTGGATTTGACTCAACATATTTTATCACTTTGACTGCTACTATTTTGCAATGTCTAGATTAGTGGCAAGGGCGAGCTTCTGAGGTGGGATGATCTCAGGGCATCCTGGCATGACTCAGAGGTGTTTGGCTGTGTGATGCTGGCAAACATTTTTTGTCCCTTCCCAGTTTTCCTTGTTCTTGACTTAAGTCACTCCAAGCGTAGATCATCAGGGAGGAGAGGGAGTTGGCCAGGCAGGCATTGCACAATGACCACTCTCTCACACTATGTCGACTGCATATTCCAGGAAAGCAAGGGCTACGAGTTTGAGTCAGAAACAGATACAGAGACCATCGCCAAGCTGATTAAATATGTGTTCGACAACAGAGAAACTGAGGACATTACGTTTTCAACATTGGTTGAGAGAGTCATTCAGCAGCTGGTGAGTTACAAATCCCGTCTGTCTGACTCATTCCTTCATTTTTTCATTAAAAACATTTTTTTCAAGCAGCAAGTGGCAATGAATCCTTTATTTTTTGTAAACCCTTATTAGACAAACTTGCACACAGTCCTGAGGATAAAAGACAGCTCATTTACAGTGTCTGGCCTTAAGATATTACACTCTTGTAGACCTGGAAGACACTCTGTGGTTTGGTTAATCGACATCAAATAGAAGGTGCCCTGCTTCATTCTGACACTTCTTAAATTGTGACTGGCATAGAGTCTATGACTTCTTATGATGCACACGTGAACTTGGTGGTGGTGTGCAGGAGAGGGTTGTGGTAACAAGGGAGGATGTCATTGTGCAGTTTTGTTGTTGTTTTTGTTTTTGAGATGGACAGAATCTCACTCTGTCACACAGGCTGGAGTGCAGTGGTGCAATCTTCACTTAGTGCAACCTCTGCCTCCCAGGTTCAAGCAATTCTCCTGCCTTAGCCTCCCAAGTAGCTGGGACTACAGGCATGCACCACCATGCCCAGCTAATTTTTGTATTTTTAGTAGAAACATGGTTTCACCATGTTGACCAGGCTGGTCTCGAACTCCTAACCTCAAGTGATCCACCTGCCTTGGCCTCCCAGAGTGCTGGGATTACAGGCATGAGCCACCATGCCCAGCCTGTTTTTGTGATAGCCCTATCAGACCATGTCTGTATGTGGAACAGAATGGCCCAAAAGAGGGAGAGAAGGAGAGAGATTGGTGACATCCCAGAGTACAGGGCCCAGGAAGCTGAAGTCCCTAAGAAGGGAGCACATACTGGGGGTATTGTCCAAGGGGAGGCTCCCACACTAGGGAGGAGGTGGAGCAGACACAGGCCCATGTGGGGCAAGGGAGGAGGAGAGGGCTCCAGGCCTCTCCGAGCCCATCCTCCCAGGCAGCAGTGCCATCCAATAGCTCCCCCAGGGCCGTGGCAGCCTGGACACTGGCCTGGAGTCCAGAACATCTGGCAGGCACCACCTTGTGGTTTAAAATATATTATTCTTGAGCAGGTGTTTTCAGGGTCTGATTTAAAAAGTAAGTCTATTGTTGAAACCCTTTTTGTCCTCTAACTCCCGTTTTTGGAGGTCCATCATTTAGAGGATGTGTTTATAAATAACAGCTTATCCCACACTTAATGCACTGGATAATGTACATTGAGCCAGTTAGGTATTATAGCATGCTATTTTTTCTTTTCCATTTTTATTTTGAAATTTCAGAAATACCTCTCTCATAATGACACTTGAACTTAAGACTTTTCCTGTCTGGGAGAGTACAGGGCTCTTTTTGGCAGAGAATGAGCAGCTTTTTTTTTTTTTTAATTGACAAAAGCAGCAGGATCTGCCTGAAGCCCCTTGGTTTGGGGCAGTTTGAAAGCCCTGCTGAGGCCTGGGGACGCCAACTCAGGTTCCTCTGGCCTTGCAGCTGAGTTGGCAACCTAGACCCGACACGCTGACCACACAGGCCTGGGGCTGCCCGCGGCTCCCACACTTGGAGGATTTCATGTTGAAATTCAGATTTGCAGCTTTTTATATATAACTGAGCTCAGCTAGGGTTGTGGTAAATTAGTACAGGATGGTTAAGACCTAGGGGAGAATTTTGCACCAAGAATTTAAGTAGAAAAAGCATCTGGAGTCTTGTGTTGGAACTGGATTCTAGTTCTGGCTTTCCACAAACCAACCACGTGTTGAGCTAAAGTTCAGTTCACAGGGGTTTGCTGAGTAGGTGCAGTCCCTAAGCAGGGCAGGGCAGCCTGGTCCCAGCTGTCATTTCCTGTGACTCTTACTGCCCCTGTCCACCCAGCTGGCACCCCACTGTGCTTTCTGTGGGCCTGGGCAAGCATGCTGCATGTTGCTCACTGTGGAATTCACACATTTTGGCCTGTGGTACTTCCTGTGACACTGTCTGTTTTGCTTTCCCTCATGACGTTACCCCAAATGCGCTGTTCCTGCACTCAGCTCCCTGAGGGACCCCAGGACTTCCACCAGGAAGAGGGGCCCAGGGAGACCCATCTGGGGTGTGGCCAGGCTGCAGCAGCATGGCTGATGGAATGAGTTGACTCTCACTGTTTGTGTGTTTTCAGGAAGGTGCATTTGCATTGGTTTTCAAGAGCATCCACTACCCAGGAGAAGCTGTTGCCACACGGTAAGGCAAAACACTGGCATTTCCCATAAGAAAGAAATAAAATAGTGGCTGGGGCGGTGGCTCAAACCTGTAATCCCAGAATTTTTGGAGGCCAAGGTGGGCGGATCACGAGTTTAGGAGATCGAGACCTTCCTGGCCAACATGGTGAAGCCCTGTCTCTACTACAAATGCAAAAATTAGCTGGGCATGGTAGCATGTGCCTGTAATCCCAGGTACTTAGGAGGCTGAGGCAGGAGAATTGCTTGAACCAGGGAGTGGGAGGTTGCAATGAGCTGAGATCGCACCACTGCACTCCAGCCTGGTAACAGCAAGACTCCATCTCAAAAAAAAAAAACAAGAAAAGAAAATAAAAACATATAGCTGGAAGGAGAAGGGAGAGGTAGGGCCTCTGCCACGCTGGAAGATACCTTTGGTATCTAAAGAACAACTGTGGCTCAGCCCGGGGGACTTCACCCCACTATCTCTATGGCCTGTGGTGCTACACTTGTGAATTTTTTTAAAAAGAAACCAGAAAGTTGGATTTTTATTTGAAATCTCCAGATTTTCAGAGGTAGGCAACAAATTCCAGTTATAAGTAAACTTGTACAGATGGGGCAGATCCAGGTTTTGTGGGGCTTGAAGCCTGTACAATATGGGGCCCCCCTTTAAGAAAAAGCATGCAAAATCATGAACACAAAACTAGGAAGAAAAGTGAATACTGATTTGAATTCAGTACAGAAGAGGCCTTGAAGGCCCAGAGCTGAAGCTTCACCTTCACAAAGGAGCATCCCAAGAATCAGCTTAGAGGCCTAGTTCAGCCCATGTGTCCCTCTATTATGGTGGGCCTCCAGTGCTGTGTGGATTTACAGAAGCAGATTAAGTGCCATCCTGTTTATATTCAAATGGGTTGATCATCCATCCATCCACCCACCCATCCATCCATTCATCCAACCATGTAACAAATATTTGACGTGCACTTACTATGTGCTGGGCCCTAGGGACTTAGTGCCATCTGACCTGGTCCCTGCCTTGAAGGGCTAAACAGTTGTGCAGGAGGGCAGAGAAGGGCAGAGGATGGTGATGCTCTATGCCAGGCCCCAGTACAGGACATCATCTTACCTGGCAGAGGGGCAGTGGTGGGTAGCCCTAGGCAGGAGGCTGCCTGGGGCAGGCAGGCAGTGGGGAGGAGCCAGCATGAGCAAAGGCAAGGGGTCCAGAGGGAGTGGGACCTCCCAGGATCCCTGTTGGCAAGGTGGGGGTATCGTGCAAGGGCATTGGTGGGACGGAGGCGTCCAGGCTCAGTGCGTGTTTACTGACACCTGCTGTGTGCCAGGCATGGGAGCCAGTGGTGAGCAAGGTGGTGTGGACACTGCTCCAGGGCCTCAAAGGCTGCAGGGAGTGGAGAAGCAGACAGAGGCCGGCTCTATATGGCCTCAGTGCCCTGCGGCCTGCAGGCTTCATTCTGAAGCTCCAGGGGAGACATCTAGAATGAACCTGTGTCTTTGAGAGACTGGGCCAGAGAGGGTGAGGCTGTTTCTCCCAGACTATCATAGTATCTTGGCAGTAAACAGCAGGAACTTATCATGATTTTTAAAATCTTTTCTAAGACTGGAACTAATTTGCCATTTGGAATTTAATTCCTTCAGTTCATAGAATTATAAAATACCAGTTGGTTCCTATCAAATTTAGAAGCCCTTTTTAAAATCTAATTTTATCATGATGTTACTATTTTAAATGAGCTCAGAAGAAAGCAGCGTGAAGAAGCAATAAAGTTTTATTTTTTTAAATTGCTTGTAACTGAGGGCTCTATAACCTCCAGGACCATCTTTGGGTTGTCTTGGGAGAATTATATGTCTCAAGGTCTAGAGAAACCGCAGAGCTCAATCTACAGCAATAAAATTTGGGGGAGTCATTTGCCAAGAAAATTAGATATCCATGTACTTTCTCACTGCTATCATTATAAACTGTTTGTGCTAGGTCCCCACTGGACCCAGAACTGTCTCAGATTTGCTTTACACAATAAATGATTGAAATATTCAAGGTGTTCATAGCACCTTCCTCAAAGCCCCAGACTTTGTTCCCCGCTTTGAGAAGTCATAGGTGGGATCCAAACAGGACAACATGATTGGAAAGCAAGGTCTGTTATTGTTGAAGAAAAATTTAGGAACTGCAGTGAGTCAGGCTGACAGACCATGGATATATGTGGGCTAGATTCAAGCCGATGAACAAGTACTTAGTTTCATTGATCTAGCAAGACATTGCTTAAGGTAAAATATTACCCAGTTGTATTCTAATTCATGTGTTTGAAACAGCTCTCTTAAGTTGTCTTATTACAGTGTTTGCCTGTGTTTTCTTCTTATTAATAAATTAATGTATAGAGGGAGAATGGCACACATCCTTTATTAACTGCTAGAATTTTACCTGCCTGGGTTCTAAGAACTGCAGGTTTAGAGCGCATGCATTACCAGAGTGAGACGCTTATTTCTGTACATACCCATGGTAAATTTTATTTGCACACTGTAATTTCTAAGAATGAGCAAAGGGTCAGATTTTGGAGGCAAGATGTCATTAAAATCGTGAGATCTTAATCACATTCACCATTAGAAGTTGTAAATAGAAGGAAAGATCCTAAAGGCTCTTTCCTGAAGATTCCCTGCCGAGGTACTCAGAAAGCCGGGCTCCGGTGGCTGAAACAGAGACTCTGGACAGGAGGCCTGAGTGAGGGCCCTTCACCTTGGCCAGCTGTAGACTTCCCAAGATTTTGCCTGTGACAGTCACTGTCTCCTTTATGATGAAGTCTACCTGGTACAGGGTGAAGATTCTAAACTTCATCCACGGGTGTCACTCAGGCAGAGACAAAAACTACCCAGGGAATTGCCTTATGTCCCCTACAAAGTAGAGAATATACAAGTCAATCAGTCTAGTGCCCACTAATTCCAGAGAACCGGGCTAGAGGAAGGGAAGGAACAACAGGGGGTTTTTGGGCAGATGGTGGGTGCAGAGCCCTATTGTTGTAGGGATGTGCTGCTGCCGAGGCTGGGTGGAGACCCTGAGTGACCCTGCGCCCCACCAGCACCTCCTCCACTGCTGAACCCTCAGCCTGTGCCATCTAACCATGTGGGTTGGTCATGTGTGGGGACTCGACTGGAGGAGGCCTGGCCTGGGAGGGCAGGGGTGGAAAGGTTACCAGGCTTACTGGGTAGGTGGGTGATGCCAAGTCAGGGTCCTGGGACTCAGGACTTGGCCTTTTGGTCCTGTGCTCCAGGCATCCATCCTGTGGGACCTAAACAGGATCCTCCATCTCTGGGAAAGGGCTAGATTTGGGGATCCCACCTCAGATGCTGGGCAGACACGCAGCCCTGGGCGTCAAAGGCGATGGGTAACTGGATGCCTCCTCCCTACAGGAGAGGCAGCCCCCTGCTCATTGGAGTCCGCAGCAAATACAAGCTCTCTACAGAACAGATCCCCATCTTATACAGGACGTGTAAGTTTCTCAAGAAGGACTGGAACAGCGCAGCTGCTGCCCGGCGTCGCAGGACTCAGCAGCTGCTCTGGCACGGTCAGCTCCCCTCCGAGGCAAGGATGCCCCACTCTGAGCCAGACCCAACGGGCGCACAGCTCCAGGTCTAAAAGGTTTTCGTGCAACTGAGACTTGGCTCCATTTTTTTTTAAGCTTTTTATTGTGGACATGATTGTATCATGATTTTGTATCTTGTCAAACATAGACAAAAGTGCCATTGTATAACAGCAACTGTGTCTTATTTGAGTACTTCTTTGGTTTGTGTTTGTTTGCATTCCTCTCACACTGTAGCCATTTAAATGCTTTTGCAGTGGTACTGTGCTATTTGGGGATCTTTTACAGGATTTGGCTGACGCAGCCAAAGCTAAAAATTGCAAATTTCTCCCACATATATTCAGAGGGGAAATTGGTTCCCTGCTGCATGTTATACAAACAAAACATCCCAATGGGATTTGCAACTCATTCCTCCATTTGCTAGGCACTCTGGAGAATGTGAAGAATATCTGTAAGACACGGATGAAGAGACTGGACAGCTCCGCCTGCCTGCACGCTGTAGGTGACAAGGCCGTGGAATTCTTCTTTGCTTCTGATGCAAGGTAACTGAGCCTTCTTCTCTTCCCTTCCTGGGATTATGTAATCAAAGAATGCTTGTCTAAACACTGCAGGTTCTTACTCATCCTTCCATGTGAGCTGTCATGGCTCAATAAGTCTCAGGGCCAGAGCAGAGTTCAGCTGTCCCTGGCCCTGGGCCTGGAGTCCTTGTCCTAGGAGCACCTGTGTGACTGTGGCGGGCAGCCCTGATCGCCAAAGGCCAGGTGCACTGGTGGGTACAATGCTTTGAGCCTGCACAAAATAAATGGGTTAGTTGCCAATGTTGGAAAATTGGGAGATTTCACAGGAAAATCTGGATCTCTAGCTTCTCTGGAAGAACTAGCTGATGTGGGTACACTGTGCTACCCTCTCTCAGGCAGCAGGTGTCTGGATCTGCTCAAAGCCTGCTCCCTTTAGATGGGTCAAGTGTCTCCACACCTCAGTCCCTCCCACGCCCCTCCCTGCCTTTGCCTGATGTGGGACCATTTGTGAAAGACAGAGCCAAGATGTAGGGAATATTTCATTTGATTCTAAAGTCCATATTCTCATCAGTCCACCAAATAATGATTTTGAAGAGAGAGAGAGAGAAAGAGAAAGAGAACACTTTCCTGCTATTTGAAGTAGAAAACCCCTGTAATCACCTCTAGTACCTTCTTCAAAGACCCAAGGCTTGGGCCTTTGTTATATATTTCCGTTCTTGATGGATTTTCTCTTTCCCAACCAGCCTTTAATATGGTCTCACTGTGAGGCAGGGAGGACACCAAGCCAGGTCTCCTGGGTAACGGGAGTGACAGGGAGGCAAGGCCTGGTTAAGTGTACAGCCAGCATCATACTTAACGCTGAGGTCGGGGTAGCGCTTCCCAAATGGTGCTCCTTAGAACATGCCTTCAACGAGAGGCTGGTATTTTTTCAGTGATTCTTAAACACACAGAACTGTAGTTATTGGCATTGTGCCATTGGAATTTGTTGAAGCTTTTATTTCTTAGAAGTTTGTCGAATAATTGTGATCTTAACGATCAATAGTAACTTATGTTCAGTGAAATAGGGTAGATGTTTCTTTTTTTAAAAAAAAAAAAAAGGCATGAATGCCTGAAAGGAGAGGAAATAGTTATTTGTAGGCAATACTATTATACATTTTTAAATCCAGCCAAAAGTCTGTTAGAACCGATAGTACTGACAGCTGGGAATAAAGGTGTGGAAATCCTATATCCTAGCCTTAGCTTCTGACCTGAGTCCAGCATGAGTGGGACCATGTTCACCTTGTTCTCCAATGTCACCTCATGTGACCAGGCACCAGGCTGTCTGCAAACGTAAGGTGAACCAAAAAAGTAATACTACTCACCACAGCTGGAAAAAAAAAAAAGCTTTGATTAAATTCCTTAAAGTAAATTTTAACAAAACTACTCCAGAACATATTTGGAGAAGACTACAGAAATTTTCCATGAGAAAGTAAGAGATTTGAATATAGGAAGAGATTCCACATTCTTCAGTAGGAAGGTTTAATATTCTTTTTTTTTTTTTTTTTATTCTGAGACAGGGTCTCGTTAAGTTGCCGAGGCTAACTTAACTAGCTCAAGGGATCCTCGTACCTCAGCCTCCAGAATAGCTATTTTCAAAAATTAATGGACTCAACATTTACAATTAATTTAATGATTACAAGTTATATTTTCAAGATATTGATTCTCCCCCAAATTAATCTGTGAATTCCGTGCTGTAATTAGGACCCTCCAGATTCTTTTGTTTATGCCTTTGGAACTTAGGGAAGTGATTCTATCACATGTAGTAGAGAGACAAGCAAGCCAGAACGTGCTGAGAAAGAGGAATGGTGGGTGGCCCTCCCAGATGTGAGCACACTGTCCAGCTCTTGGGCAACGGTGACCAGTGTGTTGTGGGGCATGGTATGTGGGCCTTGCCAGGATCCCATCCAGTAATCACTACAGACCTCTGGGAAAGGCACAGCTCTCTCCTCTTTACAGAGGTGGAACCTGAGACATGAATTCCAGGGGGTCATCTCTATTACCCAGGGGCACAGGACTGGTAAGAGACAGAGGCCCTGAGTCCACCTCAGGCCTAACTCCTGGGCCAGTGGTCTTAATGACCAGATTATGTTACTACCCATTTTGTAAGTAAAATAATTACATTTAAACAAACATATGTACATGCATGCATAAATATAAACACACATGCACCATACATTGTTGGTTGGTTAATGCTACAACGTAAGCAGTGTTAATCTCTTGGAGACAGGATAGGGCCATTTTTACTTCTTGTCACTCCATATTTGTACTTTTTATACAATAGGTATGTTTTGTTTAAAATATTTTTTGCGGTACAGTGGCTTGTGATCCTTCTTTCTCTTTCTTCCCTAGGATCTGGCTGGATACACCTCTCTTAGAGCCTTAGACCTTGATAGTTTCTCTCCTGACCTTTGCACCAGGAGTTCAGGTGTTCATTTTCTGGCAGTCACATGTGGGTGTGGCTCTTGATAGAATGAAAGTGTTTCTTTTTTTGTTTGTTTGTTTGTTTTGAATGGTCTCTCATTCTGTCACCAGGCTGGAGTGCAGTGGTGTGATTTTGTGCCAAGTGATTCTCCTGCCTCCGGAGTAGCTGGGATTACAGGCATCTGCCACCACACCCAGATAATTTTTTTATTTTTAGTAGAGACAGGGTTTGATCATGTTGGCCATTCTCAAACTCCTGACCTCAGGTGATCTGCCCACCTTGGCCTCCCAAAGTGCTAGGATTATAGGCGTGAGCCTCCATGCTTGGCTGAGAGTATTTTCTCTAAGAGTCATTCAAGACCAACCTGATGGGTTATACCACAACTATGTACCATTAATCACCTTTCTTTTTCATTTAGCAACATTTCGAACTTAAAATCATTTAAAAAGACACTTTGTATTATGATCTCAAGGGAAAAAAGTCATTATTACTTTCCATACAGAGAAAGTTATAATAATAAACACAATGACCCTGTGTTTCTTTGGCAAACATAGCTTGCAGATTACTTTTAGGGCCCCTTTGTGTGCAGGTATGCATGTGTTTAAGAAACTAGGTCTTTTGTCCTGATGAGTTTCCCATTGTCTGGATTTTGCAGAGTGCATCCCCTGGTGTCATTTACCATGTTCCTCTGTCCCCTATGTTTTCTGCACACTGGAGTTTATAAGTGTTAAAGCTTGATCTTATTTAGGTTTATTCTCTTTTGGCAAGACTACATAGTTGATGGTGTGTCCTTCCATCAGGAGGCAGGTAATGTCTCACCATCTCTCTTTTTGTACTAAGAGCCATCAGGAGTTTGAGTGTTGCCTGCCTTATCCATCCATGATAAAGCTTCGTTCAGCTTTTCACCTCCTGGTTTCAATAGCCATGGATGGCCCCTGATTAGAACTATTAAAATTAGGAGTTCATAAGTTGATTATTCTAATTCTATTATTTCTTCATTACTAGCTATATCACTTCTTAGAGAAACCTGCTTTCATAGAGTATGTGGTTGTTCTGAAAGACAGATTGTTTAGATTCTTTCCCTCCATGATTCAGAATAATGTGTTGGTTCTTGAGGATCCTCCAAAGATGACATTGTTTGGATCCTGATTTGAAGAAACCAGTTATAAAAAGGCAGCCATGAGATTATTGGAGAAATGTGAACATACTGAATATTTGATGATATAAAGGAACAACTATTAATTTTAGCTATGATTGTGGCATTATAGGTTAAAATAGTTTTAGAGCTATATGCTAAAGTGTTTACAGAAGAAATGATATAATGTCTGGGACTGGCTTCAAAATAATTCCTTGGGGAGGGGAGGGAAGAGTGGAGAAGAGGAAGATTCACTTGCAAATCAATGTTTTTAGTGTGTTGTCTGTGCCCCTCCTAAAATGCCAATGATGTGCCCCCACACATGGGGAACAGCAAGGGGCTGCTGCCTTGAAACTGCTCAGGGCAGGGTCCTGATGATGATGCCTGTGTTTCCCTTGCCCCAGCGCTATCATAGAGCACACCAACCGCGTCATCTTCCTGGAGGATGATGACATCGCTGCAGTGGCTGATGGGAAACTCTCCATTCACCGGGTCAAGCGCTCGGCTAGTGATGACCCATCTCGAGCCATCCAGACCTTGCAGATGGAACTGCAGCAAATCATGAAAGGCAGGTGTCCTTGAGAGTCCATGTGTAGCAGCCTTGGGAGCTGACCCTCCTGTTAGCACTCTTGACCCTCTCTGCCTGGCCCCGGTAGAGGCCACAGCCCTCCCACCCTCTGTGGCCACCAGGACAGAGCTGCAGGTGGCCTATGGCTTGCACAGTTGAGGGGATGTGGGGAGGCTGGCCTGACGCCTCCAAGGGGGTCTCCTGTCTGCAGCCAGGTGCCAGGTCCTCCTGTTAGAACTGAGCCCAGTGTGTCAGCTGCCTTCTTTCACCAACTCTGGGGGACACACTCCCACCCTCAGGCATCATTTCTTCTCTGGGTGGGAAGTCTACAGTAATGGGGGTGGGGGGCACACTTTCTCCCTACTAGGAGAGCCTCTCTGTCTGCATCCACTTCCATCTCCCTGCAACCTCTACCCGACAGTGCAACCTGATCAAACTTTTAAGAACATGAATCAGCCCCTGTGATCATCCCCCTGCTTAAGGCCCTCCAGTGGCTTCCTACTGTTCTTGGAATAAAATCCAAACTCCCTGCCGCAGCCCATAAACCCTCACACCCCCACCAGAGCCAAAACCTGGTCCCACCACACTCAACCCTCTGTCCCAATGTGCTGTGCCACAGCCCTTGCGTTCACTGTTCTTCTCATAGGACTGGTTCTTTTTCATCATCTCCAGCTCCCCTGATATGTCACCCCCTCAGAGAGTCCTTCTCTGCTCCTGTGTCTGCCATGGTCCCTCCCCAGCCCTTCCCCTATGGTGGTCACCCCTGATTCCCCTTACTTGCTTCATTTGCTTGTCGCACCAGTGCCAGGTCATGGGTGGCAGGCTGGGAGCACTGGCGATGTTGGCATAATGAGTGTGTGTATCCTAGAGAACACTGTCTACCCCGCCTGTGGGCGCCTCCAGAGCATCAGGCACAGCTACTGCATCAGGATCTAAAACACCCTGCAGCCCCATTGTCCCATCAGCACCATCCAGTCCCACTCAAAGCAAAGCCCTGGAAATGCCTGTACAGCTGGAAAGGTTTTTATTACAGAAGCTAGGAGGGTATTTATTAAAAGGAAAATTGCCTATTTCTTTGGGCCTGCTTAGCTGTATTTCCCTAACTTGGTGGCTTTTTGGAACTAAAGCACTTTACTTTCTTTTGGTCTTGCTAAGGGGAGCACAGCCCAGAGGGCCAGCCAAGCCATTTGTTACTTGCATGCCTCTGGCAAACCCCTCCCTTCCTCAGCCTGCAGGGTCCAATATGTAAATTGGAGATGATAGTCATGGTTCCTGACCTGCTTCCCTCTGAAGGTCCATGTCAGGCAGGATGATCCCTAGGGATGCCTTTGGGAATCTGCAATAAACTTTACAGGAGTTGCTATCACTACTGCATAAGGAGAAGAGGTGAACTATTCCTAATGAAAAGCAGGAAACATAATGAAATTTAAACTGACCAGATGTTTATTGGACCAGGTAACTTCAGTGCATTTATGCAGAAGGAGATCTTCGAACAGCCAGAATCCGTTTTCAATACTATGAGAGGTCGGGTGAATTTTGAGACCAACACAGGTAATTCCTACATTCAATGGGGAGCCTCTGCCTATGCGTAGTCCCAGGGAATATGGTCATTGTGTAGACTCAGCGTTAACGCCCTGCCGTGTGCCCTGCAGTGCTCCTGGGTGGCTTGAAGGACCACTTGAAGGAGATCCGACGATGCCGACGGCTCATCGTGATTGGCTGTGGAACCAGCTACCATGCTGCTGTGGCTGTAAGTGTGATACATGCACGGGGAAATCAACAGCAGTCTAGGGCCAGACACTGGGCTTCAATTTTATCACTCATTTGGCCTTCTGAATTTGGCTAAGCCCTTGAACCCATTCCCATGAGCTAGCGTGAGAAATGACACAGAGCCCTTTTATATTTGAGGTACCCTGTGGATAACTGAAGTCCCCTTGCCACCTGGACAGTGAGGTTTCATGTCAGAAACTGTCCCTAGAAGCTCAGCTGCCCCATGTCCCTGTCGTGCCTGTGACTGACTTTAGTCCCCATGTTTGTTGGCTTCAGACGCGGCAAGTTTTGGAGGAACTGACTGAGCTCCCTGTGATGGTTGAACTTGCTAGCGATTTTCTGGACAGAAACACACCTGTGTTCAGGGATGATGTTTGCTTTTTCATCAGCCAGTCAGGTAAGAAGAGAGACAGTCACGTGGCTAGCCTTGCGTCAGATCAGCTCTGGGGTCTCTTCTTCACCTTCATCCAATTAAGTCCTCTGCATGGCCACCCTGTGCTGCAATCCCTCTCTTCCAGCAGGTCATTTAACCCTTAGAGCTGTGGATTACTGTCACTGTTGTACGGGGAGGGCAAGAAATGTCTAATGCCATGCAGCCAGGGGGTGACTGAGCTGGAATTGGGCTGGAAATCCACGCCTATTAGTTTTCCCCCTGCCCTGTGGCTTCTCTCTTCTTGCCTGTCCAGTACTTCAGGGACCACTTACTAAGGTGCTTATAAATGTTTGCTGATTTATGTTAATTAAAAAAAAAATCTCCTTTAACATTCTGTTAGGTTGAGAGTCACGTGGAGGACCCAGTATGGGCTCTGTGCTCAAGTGCCCAAGCCGAGCTGCCTGTGGCATGCAGTGCCCATGCCTCCCAGCAGGGGGAGGTGTGGGGAGATAGTACTCCCTTTTAGGGCCAAGCTAAATGCACCCCATCTGGTGCCATCCCAACACTAGGCTTGGATGTTTTCTTCAGCTGCCCCAGGGAGGTGATCAGGGCCATAGGCTTGGAATCTCCTTGAGCTCATGGAGGATTTTTGAAATGTTTTAATTCTGGAGAATTCTAAACCTTTATAAAAGTAGAGATATTCATATAATGAATTGCCTAGCCTCAGCACTGATCAACCAGCCCAGCTGGTGCTGGTCAGACACACTTACATTAAGCCCTCTTCTCCATGGGGTTACTTTGAAGCCAATCCCAGACATCATGATATTCATCCATATAAATACTTCAGGATGTATGATTAAAATGATAAAAGAAAAACATCTAACCACAGTGTCATTGTCATTACCACAATTAAAATATTGATTGTAATGCTCTATTATCTACTGGGACTTTTTTTTTTTTTTTGAAATGGAGTCTTGCACTGTTGCCCAGCTGGAGTGCAGTGTCGTGATCTTGGCTCACTGCAACCTCCGTCTCCTGGGTTCAAGCCATTCTCCTGCCTCAGCCTCCCAAGTAGTTGGGATTACAGGTGTGCCCCAACATGCCCAGCTAATTTTTGTATTTTCAGTAGATACAGGGTTTCACTATGTTGGCCAGGATGGTCTCAATCTCTTGACCTCGTGATCCACCTGCCTCAGCCTCCCAAAGTGCTAGTATTATAGGCGTGAGCCACCGCACCTGGCCTCTATTGGGACTTTTAGTACTGCTTCCATTTTCAATTTTAAATACCATTTCCATTTTGTTGACAAGCGAAGAAAAACCAGTACAGACACACCGATCATCCGGCCCACCACCTTAGGCCTACGTTCACCTTTGGGTTTATGATTCCATCAGAGTGTAAAAATATTTTATAAATTGGTGGGAGACATTAACAAAAGAACAGAGGTGGACTTAATGTGAAAATAATGCAGTGGCAGCTTCCAAGTCCCTGTATGCATAGAAGTCAGCTTTAATGAGGTTGAAAAAACACCATCAAACCCTAGGGCGAGGGTAATAAAAGATCGAACCCCCCTCCCCCACCACCACCACAGTACCCCATGACACTCCAGTGCCATAACTCAGGGCTTTGAAGAAAGAAAAGCAGGGGAGAACTGGGGCCACCCAGCACCGGGTGGCACCTGCCTGCCTGCAAAGCTGGGACAGATACAGTCAGGAGCAGTGGCTCTGCAGACAGAACAGCCTCCTGACTCATAAGGATTTCAACAGTTTTGATTTTATAGTCTGGCTTATGCTGAATTTAATTTGAGTTGGTTAGGAGGGGGAAACTGAGGGAGTTTGTGCTGGTTTATGCATAAAGCTGTTTAGCTTTATTCTAAAATCAATTTGAGTCCACACTGACAGGCTTGCAAGAATTATTTCCTTTCAAACAGGATCTATTTGAGAAACACCACTTGGGGACATTCCTGCTTTTCAAATGTGAAATCTGTTCCATGTCAGCACATTCTGAATAAGGCAGCTTTCAGTTGCAGAAACGGCGCTGGGGGCCAGGCCCACCTGTCACCAGCTGTATAGCTTTGATCAGAGCACTGTCTCTCAGCCCTTGTCCTCAAGAGGAAAATGGGGATGATGGTCCCCATGGGATTGTTACGAGATTTAAATGAAAAAATGCTTGCCACATAAATAGTGACAAATCTTGAATCTAAGAATCAACCAAAAAAACTGTTGAGCATGTGTTTGCCTTTCTGAACACCTACTGGCTGTGTCTTGGGCACTGATTTCCACATAAGAGCCAGAGGTGAAGGAGGAAGGGGTTTGGGTTAGGGCTTAGGCTGGTGGAGTGCGGCACTGAGAAGGCCCCTGTGTGGCAGGCGAGACGGCGGACACACTCTTGGCGCTGCGCTACTGCAAAGACCGCCGCGCCCTGACTGTGGGTGTTACCAACACCGTGGGCAGCTCCATCTCCCGAGAGACCGACTGCGGCGTCCACATCAACGCAGGGCCAGAGATCGGTGTGGCCAGCACCAAGGTAGGAGGAGCCACGCGCCCCCCTCCCAGAGAGAGCCTGGCAGGGGGGTCCCCAGAGGCTGCAAGGTCCCCAGAGGCCGCTCTCCTTTGGCCTGGATGCTCTGGGCGGTTGCGCCCTGCTCTTTCCCCTTCCCACCTCACCCCTTTTCTCCCCTCCCTTTCCCCTCCTGTCTTGGATTCCCATCTCTTCATTTCGTTTCATTTTATTCCCATGTCGTTTTACTATGTTTCATCCATGTTGTCCTGTGGATCTTTGAGCACCTTAGAGACGCTTATTTTAAAGTCCTTTAGACCCAGCACAGGGCTCCCATCTGGAATCCCAGCACTGTGGGAGGCCAAGGCAGGAGCATCCCTTGAGCCCAGGAGTTCCAGACCACCCTGGGCAACCCCATCCCTTCAAAAATAAAACTTAAGTCTGGGTGCGGTGGCTCACACCTATAATCCCAGCACTTTGGGAGGCCAAGGGGGCGGGCAAATCACCTGAGGTCAGGGGTTTGAAACCAGCATGTCGAAACCCGATCTCTACTAAAAATACAAAAAGTAGCCAAGTGTGGTGGTACATGCCTGTAATCCCAGCTACTTGGGAGGCTGAGGCAGGAGAATTGCTTGAAACTGGGAAGTGGAGACTGCAGTGAGCCGAGATCGTGCCACTGCAATGCAGCCTAAGTGACAATGAGACTCTGTCTCAAAAACAAAATAAAAATATAAATAAATAAATAAAACTTAAAAATTAACCAGGCAGATAATACACACTACAGGTGGTGCCTGTAGTCCCAGTTATTCGGGAGATTGAGGTGGGAGAATTACTTGAGCCCAGGAGGTTGAGGCTGCAGTGAGCCATGATCTTACCACTGCATTCCAGCCTGGGCAACAGAGTAGACCCTATCTCAAAAAATAAAATAAAGCGAAGTTGATGTAAAAAGTGAAAGTAAGGCCCTTGCCACCTCCTTCTTTGTGCACAGGCTTATACCAGTCAGTTCATCTCTCTGGTGATGTTTGGTTTGATGATGTCTGAAGACCGAATTTCACTACAAAACAGGAGGCAAGAGATCATCCGTGGCTTGAGATCTTTACCTGGTATGTTCCAGAATTCAGCTGTCCATGTTCTCAAATCTAATGGACTGTTGCCGGCCACTCTCCCTTGACTGTACAGGATGTTGTTCATTAGTCCCTTTTCCTAAAACTTTCTAGCCGCCCCTGCTGCCTCTGACCTCATCCTGCTCAGCACTGCCCCACCCTGGGCTGCCTCCCTGACCTTCTGGTCCTCAGCAGTGCTGGGGCCGAGCACTTTCCCACCACAGGGCCTTCACACTGGCTCTTTCCTCTGCTAAACCATCTCCCTTCAGCTCTGCATACAACCAACAGCTTCTCATCTCCCAAAGCTCATCTCCCAAAGCTCAGCTCAAATGTCACCTCCTAAGACCCTCCCTGCACACTTAACAGAGGCCCCAGCCTCCGCCCCAGCACTGTGTGAAACCTTAGCCTGTTTGTTTTCTTTATAACACCGCTCATGATCTGAAATTGCCTGTTCACCTAGTGACTGGCTTGTCTCCCCCCAACTAATGTGTCAGCTCAGCAAGTACACAGCCATGTCTACCAGAGCCACCACTGGACAGCTGGTGTCTAGCACAAGGTGGGCATACAGTAGGTGTTCAATAAGTACCCAAGAAAGACCAAATGGCTGGCCCCAGGCCCTTCCTATGCTAGGCACTCCTTGGCAGCCCCACCATACTTTCCCCATTTGCTGGGCAGCAGCACAGTCCCAGCTATTGTAGCTGGTGAGATACAATGACTGAATCATGACCTCCTTGGGGACCATGGCCTCCCCTTCTTTCATTCATCCACCACATATATATTTAGGACCATCACCATGCCCTGCCCCATATGCCATCCCTGGCCTATGGCTCACCTCCTTCAGCAGCGGCTCACCTCCTTCAGCCACTCGCAATCCAGAGTAGAAGAGACCTCTGTGTGCAGCTCTGAGGGGGAGATGAGCCGGCCTTGCTTCAGGCTGGCATGGAGCTCTCACTGGGGGCAAGACATCATGGGGCTTCTGGGGGATGCTCTTCCAGAGACAGTGGGAGCTGGCGCCTTCCTGGGAACCAGGGCCAAACCCCAGAGCAGGCAGTGGGGGAAAGGCCACCATAGAGAGTGGTCAATTCCAGGCCCTCGGGGCCTGACACTGGCCGAGACAGCATGCTGAAGGTTTATTTCTGAGAAAAGGCATTCTTCCTTTAAGCCAGGACGTAACGATGCAAAACAGGACCCAATTCTGACATGTAAGTCAGTGGTTCTCAAGATGTGGTCCACAGGTCCTGGGTGTCTACAAGGCCCTTTCAGCAAAACTGAAATACATAGTAATACATTTTTATAGTAATTTTTTTTTTTGCCTGTGTCTACATTTGCAAAGGCAGTGGTGGCTGTGCCTGGCTTCCAGCACATTAGAAGGCCTACTGGTAATTGTGTCCTTCACTACCACACACCTAGTTTCGCTTAAGAATGGCCTCGATGGCCGGGCACAGTGGCTCACACCTGTAACCCCAGCACTTTGGGAGGCTGAGGTGGGTGGATCATGAGGTCAGGAGATTGAGACCATCCTGGCTAACACGGTGAAACCCCATCTCTACTAACAATACAAAAAATTAGCTGGGCATGGTGGCATGTACCTGTAGTCCCAGCTACTCAGGAGGCTGAGGCAGGAGAATCACTTGAAACTGGGAGGAGCAGGTTTTAGTGAGCCGAGGTCATGCCACTGCACTCTAGCCTGGTCAAGAGTGAGACCTTGTCTCAAAAAAAAAAAAAGGCAGACACTAAAAAGATTTGCAAGAACAAAAAACAGTGCCACTCTTCTAATTCTTTTTGAAAATATAGTAATGTAATAGATTTAGTGTTGTTATTTTAAAGTGAATTAATATTTTTAAATTTCTCAGTGTTATTTTCTGATCTGGTATATGTTGACAGATTTAACTCAAAAACAAAGGCTTTTAGGGATGTGCAATAATTTGAGGGATTTGCAATTAATCTTCAAAAGCGTAAAGGAGTCCTGAGACCAAAAAGAGAACCAGTGGTCCCACTTACAGGGGCCTTGTCTTGAGACACAGCAGGCAAGGGGTGCTAACTGGCGGTGTCAGCTCTGTCTTCAGAGGGTGCTTTCACCTCTCTGAGTCTCAGTTGCCTTACCTGCAAAACGGAGTGAGAAATGATGCTTTCCCACCTACCTTCTTGGTGCTCAAGAGAAGTATTCACACAATATGAATCCCTACCCTAACAAAATCCTGGCCAGGAGTCCGAGTTATTTCCTATAATCTAAGTTTTAAACGAATGCAAAGAAGCAACGTGTACTAAGTGATATGAGTTTCAAAACCTCCTCTTAAACCCCAGCATTTGTCTTCATGAATATTGCTTTAAAATTGGTGTGATGGGCTTTCTCCTTCTCTTCTGTGCATGGCTCAGAGCTGATCAAGGAAGTGCTGTCACTGGATGAGAAGATCCATGACTTAGCCCTGGAGCTCTACACGCAGAGGTCACTCCTGGTGATGGGGCGGGGCTACAACTATGCCACCTGCCTGGAAGGAGCCCTGGTGAGCCACCACACCCAGCCCCCACCTCCATGAAGACAGGCACAGGAGTCCCGGAAGAACCAGCAGGAAGGAGGGCAGGGCATTGGGCTTGGGGAGAGCCAGGCCTGAGGACCCCTTGGCCACCCCTGTGAGCCTGCCCTAAGCACCAGCTCTACACCACATTTCTAGCCCTGGGCACATAGAGATGGGTGACATGGCAGGTGCCCGCTCCCAGGGAGCTCCCAATCTACTGAAGAGAAAGGGATGGGGCACTTAGGGTGTGCACCTCTAGCTGTCCAGCCACTGCCAGGGTCCACTTGGACAACTCACTCAGACCTCGTGAGCTTCTTCTGAGGGGTTGGCAGATGCTATTCACCTCTCATCCAGGAGGAAACAAAGCCTCCAAAAGCTTAAGTATCTCACTCAAGATGATGTGTAGAGGACCTGAATCAGACCTGAGTCCTTGGGGACCCAAGTCCATGTGGCCTTTGCTTTTTTCCACCACCACCAAAATTGTGGGGTGGGTTCTCCTTGTGACCCCTCAGACTTCCAAGGGGAGTTTGAAATCTTGAAGGAATGAACTTTGAAGGCCCTGCATCTTCAAAAATTGGTGAAAGGCCATTTGTCCCTGCAGTAATAAAGATCCACGCCAGCAAAGAGAAAGCTGTTGGTGCAGGGACAAAGTGCCAGGACCATGGGGCTGCCCAGAGGGTGGACAGAGAGCCATGCAGGGACCTGTGTCTAGGGCTTCCCCTCTCCTCACTGTCAGCGTGCCATGCATGGAGCAGATGCTCAGCCCAGGTAACAGGGACAGTGCTCCAGGTAAGGCCACACTGGCCACCAAGACCAGGGCATTAACCATGACCCAGCTGGGCTGCCATTCTCTCCCATCTCCTCTCCACTATCCCCATTTGAAAGATAATGCTAGGCTGGTGCAGTAGCCTGCACCTGTAATCCAAGCACTTTGAGAGGCCAAGGCAGTCAGATCGCTTGAGGTTAGGAGTTCGAGATCAGCCTGGACAACATGGTGATAGTCTATCTCTACTAAAAATACAAAAATTAGCCAGGCGTGGTGGTGCATGCCTGTAATCCCAGCTACTTGAGAGGCTGAGGCAGGAGAATCACTTGAACCCACGAGGAGGAGGTTGCAGTGAGCCGAGATGGCACCATTGCACTCCAGACTAGGTGGCAGAGCGAGACTCCCATCTCAAAAAAAAAAAAAAAAAAAGAAAGAAAAAGAAAAAAAGACAATGCCAGTTGCAACTGGTTACCGGAAGCAGAGTTGGTTTCCCTGGTCTTGGTGGGGAGCACAGGCCTGACCTCAGTGAGCTCAGTCTCCTGCATCTGTCCCCTGGAGGTTCTGACTCCTGTTAAAGGAAGCCAAGGACAGGCAGGTGCTGCTTCTGGGGATGCAGTAGAGGCAAGGCCTGGGGGTGCACTGTCAGCCCCCAGATGACTCTGCCTGATGGGTGGGGGTCTCAGCTGCGGTAGCTGAATGTGCTGGCGAAAGATGCATGAAAGATACACATTCAACTGAGCCACCACATGAGTCTAGAGAAGAAAAAAGTGTTTAGTTGGCTGCTGGCACAAGCCAATGGCCCTCCGTGGTCACTGGGAGGCCAGCACTCCAGCTGTCTGCAGCCTCTAGAGTGGAGCCACTCTCCTCATTGTGTTGCCCTGACCCAGATCAACAGTGTTAGGAGAGTCAAGAGATGATTTCTTTGTCTCACCATTTCAATGACGTGGATTTGTGATAACTGAATAGAGATGGATCTACCTGAACATGGGAAAAATTCAGTTAACACCCCAGTTTGTGCAATTTTGCTTGGAACCACTCTTCAGAAGTTATTGATAGGAGAACGCTTAATCAAATTAACTGAAGGTATAGCTAAGCAGAATACAATGCTGTCATCATAAATGTGGCTGGCTAGGGAGAAGAGGGTGCACTAGGCTGACTCCGACTTATCTGTCTTAAGGGGTGGCTGTGCGTGGGACTGGAGAGAGAGCAGCAGTGCCCAGGGATGGTGTGGGGACACAGACTTTGTGTCCTGGGCTGGTGCATGACCTGGACAGTAGTCAGGCCTCTCCCCAGGCCCTTGCTGGTGTCCTCAGTGCTGTCAACCACTCCAGGCATTTGCCTGCCTTGTGACCCTTGGCTCTCTGCCTTCCAGAATCATCCTTCTCCTGGTTCCCCTTCTTCCCCTCTGGCTGATCTGCTCCAGTGTGACTCTGATCTCACCTCCTGTTTCCCCAGAAAATTAAAGAGATAACCTACATGCACTCAGAAGGCATCCTGGCTGGGGAGCTGAAGCACGGGCCCCTGGCATTGATTGACAAGCAGATGCCCGTCATCATGGTCATCATGAAGGATCCTTGCTTTGCCAAATGCCAGAATGCCCTGCAGCAGGTCACGGCCCGCCAGGTAAGGGGTCTCTATTGGACTGGGCCAGCTCTCTCCTTTTCTCCATACATGCCCACCTCACCACTGTCTGCCAGTACCAGTGATGGATGGATAGTCTGGCCAGTGAGTAGCTGTGACCACACACTCCCCTGAGCCCCCTTGTGAGGAGTACACACACTGGAAAGGAATTGGTCAGCCTGCAGCTGTCCCACATGGCTCTTCGGCAGGGCCCAGGAACCCAAACTGCCATGAGCAGTGACAGATCCTGGCCTGGAGCTCAGGGGAGGTACTCCTGGTGGAGATCCCTGGGGTAGGGTTTCCCCAGGTTCTGTGGCCAAGCAGCTCTGATGTGAACTACCTGGAGTTGGGTCAGATCTCACAGGGCAGGGGCACAACTTTACACAAGACTGGCCTCACTTCAGGCACCTGCTGCAAGCCACGGGTCCACCCACACATCCGAGCAACTGACTAGGAATCAAAGGATTCCCACTCTCCCCTCAAGTTCAGTAATTTTCTAGAACTCATAAAACTCAGGAAATCACTATACTATTACAGTTTTATTATAAAAGACAAAAATCACAGCCAACCCCGAAAAAGGAACCAATAGTGTGAGGGCCCCAAATGTGAAGCTTGTGTCCTTAGGATGTGTCACTGTCCCAAACATCACCATGTATCACCAGGAAGCTCCCGTGAGCTGCTAGCTTCAGCGCCCAGAGTTTGTATTGTGGTTTTATTAAGTGGCAGGATGGAGTGAACCAATGGCCATATGATTGAATTCAGTGACCAGCCCCACTTTTGTCCTTGGAGGTTGGAAGTTCAGGCTGACTGGCTCGTGTCCCAAAGCCCTAACCCTCTAATCATGTGGCTGGCCTTTCTGGCAGGGTGAGACCCCATCCTGGAACTATCTGCAGGCACATCATGAGTTACTTCCTCAGCATAAAGTCAGGTATAGTCCAAGGGATCCTTCATAGATAACAAAGATGCGTCTGTCACATGGGAAAGTCCAGAGGCTAGGAGCTCCCTCCCTGAAAACAGCCACAAAGACCAACCAAATGCTTTGTACACAGCAGCTGCTCTGAGGTGGGAGGGCAGTTTTCATGAAGTTTCAGGAAGGTGAAATTCAATAAGGTGCCCCATCCAGATGCTGCCACAGCTGGCTCAGTACCGTGGTCAGAGTGAGTGTATAAATCACAGTTGCATTATTTCCCCACTGAAAACCCTCCCATACCTTCCTGTCAAGCCACAGAGGCCCACAGGCCTTTGTCATCTGGCCCTTTCCTCTTGTTTCAGAGTTCCAGGCACTCCAGCTTTCCTTCTGTTCCCCACTTGTGCTGTGCTCAAGCCTGCCTCCAGGCCTTTGCGCTGGCTGTTCCTGCTGTCTCGGATGCCCTTCCCACAGAATGCTTTGCTGAGAGTTGGCCCCTCTCATGTAGGGCTCAATTCAGATGACTCTTGTTTTGAGAGAGCTTCAGAGACCTCACCAGTCTCCCAATCACAGGATAATGTGATTATCCTGTTTTCTTGCCTTGGTGGCATTTCTGTGGCATGCATCTGTATTTATTGACTTGCTTGTCTAGGTTTTTGTTTTCCACCACTAGACTATGAGCCCCACTAGAGTTAGGAGTGAGTCTGCTCTGCTCTCGGCAAGGTACAAATGGGTGCCAAATGATGCAGCAGGATGGTGATGTCCGTATCAGGGAAAGGGCAGAAACACACCAAAAAGCATCAGACGCTTTGTCCTTTCCAAGCATTTGTGTCCCACACATACCACCTCACCTATGATTCAGCAAATACAAAAGAGGACTGTTCTCATCACAGTAATGTAGCTTCCAGATATGCCGCATGTGTCAGGGACTGCTTCTTTCAGAGATGATCTATTTTATGATCCTATTTCTCTGCTCTAGGGTCGCCCCATTATATTGTGCTCCAAGGATGATACTGAAAGTTCCAAGTTTGCGTATAAGACGATTGAGCTGCCCCACACTGTGGACTGCCTCCAGGGCATCCTGAGCGTGATTCCGCTGCAGCTTCTATCCTTCCACCTGGCTGTCCTCCGAGGATATGACGTATGTCTAAAAACTGCACCTACCAGCAGAGGGGAAGAGACATAACCACAAAGTTCCTTTGTGTTCTTTAAATACTTGGAGTAAACAGTCATAGGAGAAATAATTTCATTTAAAGTAGCTTTCTTTTTAAAGTAGCTTAAACCACCCCCACCCCCTCCAAAAAAACAAGCTGGAAACTGCAAAATGTGTAGAAAAGATTATGACATTAAATTACAACCTGGCTTGGTGATGTGGCTCACGCCTGTAATCCCAGCACTTTGGGAGAGCAAGATGGAAGCATTGCTTGAGGCCAGGAGTTTGAGACCAATCTGGGCAACATAGCAAGACCCCACCTCTACAAAAAATTTTTTGCATAATATTCCATCACAATCTTATAACATGATTTTCTTAATGGTTACTTAGCCAATCTTCTACTATTTAAACTGTTCTCAATTTTTTGCCTTCATAAATAACAGCAGCAAACATCTTTATACATACAACGTTGTCCCACATTTAAGATTTGTCCTTAGTCTAACAAATGATCTAACATTTTGGACTCCTAACATGTATTGCCAAATTATGTTCCAGAAAAGAACCAATTTTTTTTTTTTTGAGACAGTTTCGCTCTGTTGTCAGGCTGGAGTGCAGTGGCACAATCTCGGGTCACTGCAACCTCTGTCTCCCAGGTTCAAGCGATTCTCCTGCCTTAGCCTCCCAAGTAGCTGGGACTATAGGCAAGCACCACCACACCCAGCTAATTTTTGTATTTTTAATAGAGACTGGGTTTCACCATGTTGATCAGGATGGTTTCAATCTTTTGACCTCATGATCTGCTGGCCTCAGCCTCCCAAAGTGCTGGGATTACAGTTATAAGCCACTGAACACACAGTTCATAGTCCAAAGAAATACAAGTTTCATTACAACTTTATTTTGAGAAGCTTTTAAAAGAACACAACAATACAATGAATATAATGAGTATCTGATTATGTACGTATCATCCAGAGCTGTTTGCTAATATGTTGTCATGTTTCATCTTTTTAAATATCTAAATGTAATAAGACCTTGCAGATACAGTAGAAGCCTATGAACCATTTCCACATTTCCCTCCCACTCCACCCTAAACAAGTCACAATGGAATTCACATAAATTCTTTCAAGAAAAGTGAATTTTTAATAGTACACATCAAGTTACCTGTGTTTAAAAACATAAGCTGTATTTTTTAAATCATGTTAACAAATCATGACAGACACCAGGTGCACAATGAATGTTTATTGGTGAACTAAACCTTACACAGTTAAATGAAACTTCTGGAGTAAAGAAGTAGGTCTCCAGATCGGTTGGAGGTTGCCATGGTGAACATCTGTCTACTTATTTTCAAGTACTCTGAAAATTGTCCTTGTGATGTAGCATGTTGCTGAGATCTGTGGGGTCCTGAACACCTACTTTCTTATATTTTAGGTTGACTTTCCCAGAAATCTGGCCAAGTCTGTAACTGTGGAATAAGGATGAGACTGTCACAAGACCATCACCACCTTTAATCTGATTCCAGACCTGTCCCAACAGCAGTGATGGGAAGAGAAGTGGGCATCCAACATGTTCTGCGTGTTCCTGTAGAGTTTGACAGCTTCCATGTGCCTTCTACCCAAGTGCTTTTGCTTACAGCAGATACTGTTTCTCTGTGTCCTGAAGTCGCCAGAGGAGAAGGGAATCATTGTTTACACATGGGGATCAGAGCAGACTTCTCCACTATCGTGCAATAGAGATACAGCTCTCTTCAGAGTAACTGTGAACCTTTTATAACCAACACTAGAGTTAGTTTTAAAACACAAGATATTTATAATGATGATTGTATAGCTTTTAAGTTATTTTTCTAGTATGTGGCTTTCTGTAGCCATGGTAATGGCCAAACTGTTCATCCCAGCTACCCATGTGCTATCTCCAGGCTTGCTCCTGGCAGGTGGCATTCATCTCAGATTTGAGCACAACGCATTGGCCCTCTGGACTCCTCTCTCCTTTACTTTCCTCTCTAGGCTGCTCCTGAATCCTGTTCCCTGACATCCACGAAGCCCCTCCAGCCATCCACCTATGCCTCTTATAAGTCAAGTTGAAATCTCAGCCTCTGCAACATTTTCTTCTTGTGTGTGGCCCAGATCTCTCCAACTCTCCAACTTCTGTTTAATCTGATCCTGGCTCCTTTCAAGTCCAGGCAGCATTTTGGTCCCTGTTCCTTGCCCATAATAAAACAGCTTGAAATATCCCATGCAAGAGAGTAGTTTCAAGTGGGCAACTCTGCTCTCTATTTAAAAGCGTGCACAATCAAAGTACTATGCAATGTTAGGACAATAAAGAACATACCAATTTTTTTTGTCTTGTGTGTTTGCATTTTGTTACCCTCATTCTGTGTACTCTGGATTTTGAGGACTGTGCAGGAGCTCAGCAGTGTTTGGAGGGGCAGCCCTGTTTGTTGGTAGCCATTGGCCTCTTCCACACCTGAGACCTGTGGGTTTTTAGTAGGAAAATGAGGGCTGTTTTCTAGGATACAAAAAATGCAGGAGATTTGGGACTCAGTAGAGGGGCCACTAAACCTGGAGGGGGTTGGCCAGAGCCTGGAGATAGCATAGAGGGGTAAAACTCTCAAATTTGTATTTTTTTCCCAATAAACCTATTATAGTTCTTGGTTTTATTAATACAATCTGGCAGGACGATTGAAAGCCAGAGAGAGTTTTTAAGTTTTGTAAAGTCAGAATTTAGGTTCCCTACATAAGTGCTATCACACACACCCTGAATGATGTATTCATGACAATTGATGTGTGTAGCATGAGTATCTCATTAAACCCTGTTCAGGATTACCTATGAGCTACTCAGCAAATTTTCATCCCCTCCTGTGCCCTCCCCTGCATCACAGGGGCTGGAAGCCTGGGAACTACATTTCCAGGTTATCCATCAGTGAGAGGCACTCATGGGAGACTTGGAAGATAGTTAAATGGCAGAAATCATATTTTGTATCTCTCTGGCAGAAGCAGATAGAAACATGGCTTTAGCAGACAGAGGGTTCTGCTATGGCCCTTGGGTGCTCCCCAAAATGCATCCACCTCAGCATCCCAGGCAGTGATGACCATGAACAGAGGTTTCCTGTGGCTCCTCCAAAATCCCAACTTTGGAGAGCTGGCAGGAACCAGGCACTGCAGGGCTTTTCCTGACTTCTGTCCTCCCGGCCCTGGGTCAGTCTCAGGGGAATGCCTAGAACGGTTTCTGTCCTACTGATCAATCCATGAGCAATACAACTTCCAAGATTAGAGACTTCAAACTAGCCATAACATTTTTCTCTGGACAAGACCTAGAAAGTGTATTTCATCCTTATGCCCAAGAGGTGATAGCCATTCTGACTTTTGTGCTCATTGTTCCCTTGCTTTTCTTTATAGTTCCACTTGTGTATCCATCCCCAAATACCCTATCTAGTTTGAAAGTGGAGGGCAACTGCATGCTGGCTGAACAAGGAGAGGGCAGCCCTGCCAGACGGAAATTCTAGGAGGTGAGCGGATCAGTCTCCAGGGCATGGTCTGACTCCTGCTCCTCTGGGAGCTGTCAAGGCCCCTCCTGGGGAAGTCATGAGCAAGGTCTCAAGGAAGTCTTGGGAAATACAGGGCTCAGCACCGTCAGGCACCTGGCAAGGCCAAGGTGGGGACTAGGCACTGGACCTGCAGCAGAAATAGAGTCAGAGGGAGGGGGCTGCCCTATACTTCCTGCTTCCAAGCTCACCGTGGCCTGCCTCCAGCTCTCGGTGGGGCGAAAGTTGGAAACTTCTGTGAGTGATGAGCATCCTCAGCAGAGTAGGGGAGAGCCCCTTATCAGCACATGGCCAAGCCAAGTACTGCCAAGAACCAGGCCTGGCTCTCCTGGGCATTCTGTCCTCAGGCTAAAGATGGCCTGATGGAAGTGGGGTCCTGGTGAAGACAGTTCACCTTGTGGGTTGCACTGCTCAGTATGGCTCAGTTACCCTCCACATCTGGCGCAGAGCCATCACCCCAGAATCACTTCTCGCCATCCTCTGTGGGCCTCCTGGGCCAGGTCTTCTGTGTTAGGCTCCTGCTTTCTGTATCTGTCTTCCTTCTTCTGAGTTTCCTCTATTGTTCCAGTGAAGCACATTCTCCTTTGATAAAAGGTGTTTGACAGCTTAGTTCAGGCTGCTGTAACAGCCCTGGTGCCTTATAAAAATCAGACATTTATTTCTCACAGTTCTCAAGACTCAGAAGTCCAGGAACAAGGCACTGGCAGATCTGGAGTCTTCTTGGCGAGGGCCCGTTTCCTGGTTTGTACAGAGCAGCCTTCTTGCTGTGTCTTCACATGGCAGAAGGGGCAAGGAACCTTTCTGGGGCCTCTTTGATAAGGGTACTAATCCCAATCATAAGGGCTTCACCCTCACAACCCCATCACCTCTCAAAGGTCTCACCTCCTAATAATCACATGGGGTGGGGTTTAGGATTGCAACATATGAATGTGGGGAAACACAAACATTCAGGCCATAGCAGAAGGCAAGTTTTTTGAGAATTTGCAGGTGTGGAAATTGTTTTTTTAATTTATACTAGATAGGCAGTTTAGCTAAACATAGAATTCGATGTCATAAAAAAGTGTTCCTGCAGAATTTTAATTTTTATTGCTTCATTGTTGTTCCCAGTATCGCTATTGAGGAGTCCAAAGTCTGATGTCTTTGTGGGTGACCTTTTTGTGTCCTTGTTTCCTGTGTTCTGAAATACCACAAGTTGCCTAGAGCCACTTTTCATTTAGAGTTGATTTAGTTTGGTAACTTGTGCCCTTCAGATCTAGGACGTTTTCTTGAATTACTGTTGTCTCTCTAGTGTCTATTATTCCGAGTGTGAAGTTGCTGGACTGGCCTCTAATTTCTTTTCTATTGTTCTTTCATTGTCTTTTTGCCCTAATTGAGAGATTTCAATTTTTATCTCCCAACCTGCTACTAAGATTTTTCACTGGCTCCAACATGATTTAATTTTTGAGGGTTTTCTTTGCTCTATTGAATATATATATATTTTAATTACCTAAAGTCTGTACTTTTTCTGTATTCCCTTAGTTCTTATCTAATGGCCTTTTTCTGTTCTGAGATACATTAATGTCTCCTTAGTTTCCTCTTGGCTGTGAGAGTTTGCCAGACTTTGTCTTTAATGACCTTGATAGCCTTGAAGACTACTGGTGGGTGCTTTGTAGACTACCCCTCAATTGGGTTTGTTAATGCTTTTCTCATGGCTAGACTGGGGTTATGAGTTTTGGGGAGGAAGATCACAGAAGAAAGTGCCCTTCTCATCCCTTCATATCATGGGTGCAGTATTAACCACATCTTATCACTGGTGTGTGGCCTTGACCACCTGGCTGAGAAGGTGTGAGCCAGGTTTCTCTGTTGTAAAGGTCCTCTACTTTCCTCCTTCTCCATATTGCACTCTTTGGAAGGAAGTCCTTAAGCTTGGCCCACACTTAAAGGGTAGGGTGTTATGTTTAACCTCCTTGAGAGAGGACTATCTACACAAATTATTTGGAATTCTTCTGCACAGACTTGTCTATTCTTACCCATTTATTTATATTGGTATGAACCATATTTATTTTGTATTTTGAGTCATATCCATTACTATGTTACTTTTTTGCTCCAATATTCTCGTTTCTTTGACATAGCCCCGTGTGTGTGTGTGTGTGTGTGTGTTTACATGCACCCATGTGCGCACTACAGTATTCTCTAGGCTTGTCTTGTCCATACCCTGCCCCAGCCCTAGAATCAGCCATTTCTCCAGGGATCCCTGGTTCCTTTTATGGTGATAAACATTAGAGAACAAGATCTGGGCTCTGGGTATGCCCGCTGTTACTGAGATGTCACTGCTTCTAGGCCAGCTCAGCTGACAGAGCAAGGCCATATTGCATATACCTGTGCTGAATAATTTTTAAATGGCTGGTTCTTGTTTTAAGGATGTAATATTTTTTCATTCTCTCTGAAGCCAGCAATAGTCTTATTTTTATTTTTTGAAATTTCCTTCTCCACAGAGTCTGTTTCTTTCAAGATGCAGTTTTTTGTCTTACTTTTCTTAGTCCTATGACATTGAGGTGTCTGTTCAGATTCAAAGTGTGACTGGAAGTTCTCAGCACATGGTAGGGCTGGTTGATGCAAGATTCACTGCTGGGAAATCTGGCAGGGGGCATGGGTGTCATAATGTTCATATCTCAGATCCTCCCTTTAGGGCTGGTCAGACTTCTGGAGAACAGCTTCCTGGCTCCCTGCCTGAGAGAATGGGCCCAGCTGCTGATGGCTCTGGGGATTCCCAGAGAAGCGGGGCTAAGGGCCACTGCATTCAGCATTCAGCTATACAGCCCCCAAATAACCCTATTTCCATAGTGCCACACCCTCAACTGTGTCCCAGCTCAGATGCCCTCATTCTTATCATCACCGTAGAAGAAACCTCCAGACTTCCACCTTTCCCAATAATTCTGCCCTTCTCTGCCACGTCCTCACATAAGCCTGACTGCCCAGAATGGCTGACTAGTCTCAGGATGGAAGCCCTGTCAGGAGGCCATCAGAGTCCATTGTTGTGGGTTTTCAAACTCCATTAGGGCCTGCAGTGGCCTCCATGGCCCTAGGGTTTCCAGGCTAGCTCTACCCTTTCCCTCCCCAGGTGTGATGTCAAAGGCACATCCCAATAAATGTCCCCATTGGTTTAAGTGCAGTTTAGCTTTCTACAATACACAGCTAGGACCGCCCTGACTTACACCCCTCAGCACATATCTGGGTCCTTGTAGGGGTTGGGGAGAAAGGAAGTTGTGGGTTAGTGGAGCAGGGGAAGGGCAGGCAAAGGTGTCAGAGGCAGTCAGCATAAGGACCTACACCATCCCTGCTGCATGGTCTGCACCCGGCTCTTCCTACTTCCCTCCTTCTCCATGCCACTTCCTACAGAACCAAGGCAGGCAGAAGTCAATCCCTTCCCAGAGGAGCACAGCTGACAAATGAGTTGGATCCATGCCAGTCAAGGATAGGGCATATCAGGACCACAGAAACCTATTGGAACTGTGGCTGCACACACAGCTGGCCTTCAGACAAGCCCCAGATGCCGCAGGCACCCCTAGCTCCTCCAGTCTCCCTGTGCTCTTGTCTTAGTTTCTGTTGCTTATAACAGAATACATGAAACTGGGTAATTTACTTTAAAAAAGAAATTTCTTATGTCCCTGGGGGCTGAGAAGTCCAAGGTTGAGAGGGTGCATCTGGTGAGGGCCTTCTTGCGGGTGTGGACTCTGTAGAGTCCTGAGGGCAGTGCAGGTGTCACATGGTGAGGGGGCTGAGCATGCTCACATGCTGGCTCCGGTCTCTCCTCTTCTAATAAAGCCACCAGTCCCACCCCAGTGATAACCCTTTAATCCATGAATCCATCAACAGATTGATCCCAACCACCTTTAGAGGCCCTACCTCTCAGTACTCCCACATTGAAAATTGAGTATGAACATGAGTTTCACAGAGAATAAATTCAAAATAACACCTCCTAATTTTTAAATGTTTTTTAAATCAACTAAGTCAATTAAAAAAAGAAAACCTCTTTGGGCTAAACAAGGCATATCAGTGAGCTAATGCCAGCCTACATGCCACCTGTTGGCAGTATAATCTGCCTCAAGGTCCTCAGAACTCTCCAGGCCCCTCACCTTTCCCTCAGTAAGACCAGGTGATTTTTGGCTCCCTGAACACAGCAAGCAGGTCCTCTCATCTGAAAATTTGGGCCCGAATGCCCTTTCTGCCTAAGTCACAGGCCCAACACAACCTGCTTGGCAGCCTCAGCAAGTTTCCTCCTGCCCAGGAAGCCTTTCCTCAATTGCTTCTTCCCACCATAAGCCAGATCAGATGAGAAGTATTATACATGTCCCACCTGGTTAATGTATGCTGTGGCAGGATCTTTTCACTTGGAGGGTTCAACTAGGATGCTTGATGCTGTTCCAAAGCCCCTCTCTCCACCCTGTCACCTCAGCTTTCTGGCCATAAATGTTCACTGTATTTCATAAACCAGAAAAAAAGCAGTGTCTCTGCAATGAAAAGAACACTTACAGAAAACTTGGTGTGAAATATGCATAGGTGTGTACATGTGTACACTGATTTTTGGTTACTCACTGAGCATGACATGAATGCTATGAGGCAAGACCTGGAGTGCTGGAAACTGGTGTCCCGTTTTTCTGTGGGTTTTTCTTTTTTTTTTTTGAGACAGTTTTTGCTTTGTTGCTCAGGCTGGAGTGCAGCGGAGCAATCTCGGTTCACTGCAACCACCATCTCCTGGGTTCAAGTGATTCTTCTGCCTCAGCCTCTCGAATAGCTGGGATTACAGGCACTCACCACCACGCTCAGCTAATTTGTGTATTTTTAGTAGAGACAAAGTTTCACCATGTTGGCCAGGCTGATCTTGACCTCTTGACACCAGGTGATCCACCCACCTCGGCCTCCCAAAGTGCTAGGATTACAGGCGTGAGCCACTGCACTCAGCCGCCTTCCTAATGAGGAGAAGTACCCATGAGTGCTCCTTGGTGGAACCTCAGCTCTGACAGCTAGGCTTTTACTCTTTTCCTATAATCCTTGATCCTGGCATTTTCTGGTTTCCTCTTTTCTCTCATGCACCTGGGGCACGTAACAGGTGGGTCTGAGATAAGGACAGGTGTGGGCCCTCCTCAATGCAGGCCACACTGAAAGCTAGAATTTTAAGCAGCGATGAGCCATCCTCAAATTTAGAAAACTCCCTCTGGTGGCCAAGGGGTGCGACACCACGCTGGATCCCTTCCTCTACCCCTGGTGCCTCCAGGCGGCCTGGCCCAGCCCTCAGTGCCCTTGGAACCTGGGTCACAGGCTTGCTGCCCTCCCCAAATTCCGCAACCACCCTTCACGCCACCCAGCCCCTGCCCCTCCCCAACTGCAGGGTCTTGTTCCTTCTCCCCACGCTGGCCCTGGCCACTCCGTAGATCCTGGTATTGTGTGATTGCTGTTCTACCCCCACACTCAACATTTGTCAACCACTGTCCCCATCTTCCAGTCCCCAAAGTCCGGCTCTCCGCGGTTTTCCCCATGTGCCCAGTCTCCGTGCCTCGATTCCTGCTTTACTTTTCACCGCAGATCTGGCAACATCCCAAGCCTCGGCCTCTCCCATCCTGTACGGCCCCAGGCCACTAGTACCTGATCCGGCCTCAAAAGCAGCTCAGAGTCAAAGGGTCCCAGTCCCTAGGAGGCCCTGAACAAGACACTTCTCGCCCTGCCCCCCACTCTTCTCAGAGGATTGACTGAGCACGTCCCACTTTTTAAATGTTGTCAACTAAGTCACCCCACCACCAAGCGCACTCTCCTCCTGCGTCACCGACCCACCGGGTCACCAGTCTACCGCCATCTCTTCGCACCACCTCCACCTCTACAATCCAACTTCTGCCCTCACCCACACCCCTATAGACCCATTCCTGCCGCGCTGCAGCAAGCAACCGAGTCCGGACTCGAGGCTTCCCGGACGCCAGGCCTGCCTCCCCCAGCGCTCGCCCCGGGCTCTCCCCGAAGCAGGCGAGCTCCCGGGCCGCTCCAGGCCGCCTCGCCGCCGCGAGCCTGCATCTGCAGTCTGAGGCCTGGCTCCCCGCGGACACCGCGGCATAAACCCCGCGCGCCTCCACCCTGATTCCCGGTCCTGTGGACCACCTCCTCTTCCACCGAGCCGTGGCCCCCTCGCCCAGACAGCGCGGGCTCAGCGGGTGGGCCGGGCAGTGCCTACGTCTACAGCTCACCGCGTGTACGGCGCGCACCGGAGCGCCGTGGCCTGTCAGCTGAGAGGCCCGTGGACGCGGAACCCACGGAACCCCGGCCTGGGACTTCCAGTCTGGCCCCCGGCCCCTGGCCCCGCCCCCGCCACCCTCCAGCGACCCGCCCACCGGGAGCCATTGGCCGCATCAGCTTCGTTCTCCGCGCGCTGATTGGTCTGCCCGAGGGTCGGTCAGACCAGGCGCCTCGGCGGCGGCAGCTGAGGCGAAGGGAGCTGGACCGGAAGGGTCGCAGCGCCCTGGCGCCCCTCACATCTACTGCGGCGGCGGCGGCGGCGGGGCGGAGCGGCTGCGGAGCGGGGCGGGGCGGCGGCGGCGGCGGCGGCGGCGGCGGAGCCGGAGCCGGGGCCGTGGAGCCTGGAGTGACCAGAACGCAGCGCCGCCAGTCTGCTCGCCCGCCCTCTCCCCGTGGTGCGGCGGCCGGGAGGCGAGGTGAGCCCGGCGGGCGGGCTAGGCCTGGCGGCTGCTACTCAAACCGGGCCCGCCGGGAGGGGCGGCGGGGGAGCCGCTCGGCCGGGGCTTCGGGGCAGGCCGGGGGCTGCGGGGCCCTGGCAGCCGCGGCTGTCGCCCCTGTGCTCTGGGATGCCGCAGTCGCCGCCTCCTGCCCTACTGTCAACAACCCTGGGTTGCGGGCCTGCTCCCCGGCCTGGCCCGGCCAACATGCCCGTGGGGTCTGCGGGCGCCATCCCTCCCGGTGGTGGGGCTAGCAGCTGCTCTCTGCGTCGGGTGTCCAGGGGCCCGGGGGTCGCGACCGCTCGACCTTGGCCAACGCACCGACCCTCCCTCTGCCGCGGTTTCGCCTTCGGGAAAGTGGGGGAAATGTCTCTTCTGGACACGGTTTTTGTCAGGCTGTGTGACTGTATGCAAACGCCTGGGCAGGGCTCGGGTGTACATTTGTGGAAGATTGGGCGGGGTGCTGACCCTTGCTCGTGTGAGTGGAGTAGGAACCCCCTCCCCATCCGTCCAGCCTCCTGCCTCCCGCGAACTTCTCCCTTGCATTGTCATTGCACACTCAGTGTCCAGCAGTGCCAGAGGGGACCCAGCCCACATCCCTTATCACCACACCCCTACCCCAGAAGACCGGCCACATCCCACTCATCTTGCTCGCCTTGAATATGCCAGCCCACATTTGCCCCAAGACATTCGCATTTGCTGTTTCACCATCTTCGGAGTTTTCTTCGAGATCTTGGTACAAGTAGCCCTTTCTGCTTCTTCCTCTGGTGACATGTCTTGTTTTGGGTGAGGCCCTCCCCGACCACCCTCTTTCTTCCCTTAGTCATACTATTTCATTATTTTAAAAATTTCATTCCTGGCTTTCACCTGGTTTGAAACTATTCTATTTATTTGCCTGTTTATTTTCTGTCTCCCCCACTAGGATGTAACTTTGTGAAAAGAGATAGCTGTCTGATTTATCCACTGCTTTATCCCCAGTGCTTAGAAAGCAGACAGTATGTATTCAGTAGTATCAGCTCAATGAATGAATGAATGGTCAAAGAAATGGCCCAGCCTCCCTGTTGTCTCTGCTTTATCTGTTCATTTAGTGACTTTTGATTAACTTGTGAAACTTGTAAACAGATGGAAGCTTGTTCTATTTTGTGAAACATTTTGGTGTCCTTGACCCCTTTAATTGCTAACTGTTGGAACAAGCTGTGGTGAAAAATCCCACATTTTATAACAGGTTAGTTCTAGCTTTCTTCTACACATACAGTAGACATTTACTGAATTCTGCATTATCTAGGTCATGCTTTCTGCCAGGCCCTAGGGACAAGGCAGATAGCAACAGGGTCCCTTTCCCAAGAGAGCCTGGGAGCCCAGTAGAGAAGGCAGGCATGCAGACACTTAGTTCCAGGACTGTACATCACTTGCTGTAGTTCAGGGGCTATGCCATGGAAATGTGAAGGAGATGGAAGGTTGTGGGGGCGGGGCGGTGCTTGAGGGTGTTGAGAAATTTGCTAGGCAGGGAGAGGCACAGAGGTGTGAAAGAGCATGGCCAAGGAAGGACTGTAGCCCACTTCAGAGCTGAGAATCCGTCTGCAGGGCCAGGTGTAAGGGCACAGAGTCATGGGGACCCCAGAGAACTGGAACCTTACCCAGTAGTTTTCTAGAAGAAGGTGGAATTTGGCTGGGTGCCATGGCTCATGCCTGTAATCCCAGACACTTTGGGGGGCTGCCGTGGGAGGGTCACTTGATGCCGTGAGTTCAAGACCAGCCTGGGCAACCTAGCGAGATCCCTGTCTCAACAAAAACTTTTTTTAAAAATTAGCTAGGTGTGGTGGCATGCACCTGTGGTCCTAGCTACTTGGATGGCTGAGGTGGAAGGATCCCATAAGCCCAGGATTTTGGGCCTACAGTGAGCTATGACCATACCACTGTGCTCCAGCCTGGTGACAGAGCAAGACTCCGTCTCTAAAAAAGAAGGCAGCACTTGATATTTATTCTGATTTTAAATGTTGGCAATAGCTAATTAATTTTTGTAAAAAACGCTGTGAGTAAAGCCAAATACAGATTCATTCAGTTTGTTCGCAGGATTGTCCTCCTCCATGATTGGCTGTGTGGGAGGGAGGAACTGTGAGGAGCAGGAAATGTAGCCTAAGGCCAGGGGAGCCAGGTCCTGTTTGCTCAGGTACCAGCCCAGGTACTTATTTGATTGTTACTGGAGCCCTGTGGAAATGGAAGCTCAGGAGTTTCAGTAGCTACTTCTAAGCAAGCAGCTGGTGAGTGGAATTCGAACCCAGGTCGCTCCCCAGATAAGCATTCTTTCCTGGGTCCCTCAGCTCAGAGTATTCTCTTCTGGCTTTTATCTTGTTGTGGAAGAATGACAACCAGTCTATTTAATGTTTTCTTCCATTTAACTTTTTTCCTTCAAAAGGATCCTGCAGAGTTAAAAATAATATTATTTTTGCATAGTCTTCTCTGGACAGCTTTGATTTTCCTGGTAATTTAATTTTCAGGATGCCAGGACTTTAATTTGTTCACAGATTAAAATATGTTTATTTGGTGCCCTAAATAAATATTAGAGGGAATACTTGAATGTGTCTGTTTAAAATAAAATCTTTATTTTCTTTAACTGGTTTACTCACTATTAACTGATTTGTCTGGTCCTGTTTTCTTAAAAGGACCAGACAAATCAGTTAATAGTGAGTAAACCAGTTGTTTTCATGAGACATAAGATAAAACAGAGACCAGATTTTTTTCTTCTTAAGACTGTTGATTTGCCGGTAGGGCAACTATTTTTGGTCTAAATACATAAAGTAGTTATACCTCACACTTGGTTAGGAAGGTGCCATTTTTACATAATTTGCCTTTAAAATAATTAATTCCTGATACTTTGTACTTGATTGTATGAACTAGTTTAAACATCATTCTTTCTATTTTAACTGTTTTATTATGGGAACTTTCAAACATAAACAGAATAGTGTTCTGCTTTAACAGTTTTTAACTCCTGTCCAATCTGTTTCATCTCTAATTTTATCGATTTGCACACTTACCACCCATAATTATTGTCAAGCAAACCCTAAATATCATGTCATTTCATTCATTAATTTTTCAGTATACTAATTACACAGTGGGTGCCCAGGAAATGTTTGTTAAAGACAAAGCTAAATGGGAGAATAAATGTGGTAGGGCAGCTGGGAATAGTGGTTAAGATCAGGACTTTGAGTCTGACTCCCAGTGGGTCTGCTACTTATCTGAGTGATGTGGAACAAGTGATTGCACTCATCTGTAAAATAGATGGGCACAACCTTAGGGTGTTCAGTTGGTCTACAGTAGTTATAGCCTGCACTTGGGTAGGTCTCTAAAGGTACTGACTCTTTTAAAGCTGGAAAAGTAATAATTCCTTAATATCATCAAATAACCAGTCAGTATTCAAATTTCCAGTTGCCCTATGAATTTTAAGTCTCATTAATCGTTTGAAGGTAGAGCTAGATAAGGTCCATACATTGTTGATCAGTTGATACATTTTTTAAGTTTCTCTTAATCTGTAGAACTATTTCTTTGTTTTCTTGGTAGTTTATTTGTTCACACAATTGAGTTGTTCAATGGAATTTCCATAGTTGGAATTTGACTGATTGCATCTCTGCAGTGTAATTAATATGTTTCCTCTGTATTTCCTGAAAATTAATAATTGGATCTAGACAAGGCTTGGTCAGATTTAGGGTGCATTCTTGCATCAAGATGCCTTCCTAAGTGGGCTGTGCACTTCTTATCTAGGGGTACCCTCAGGTTCTCTGCCTATCCATTTTACAGATGAGTGTAATCACTTGCCCTGCATCACCCAGATAAGTAGCAGACCCACCGGAAGTTGGATTCAATGTCCTGATCTTAACCACTGCTCCCAGCTGCCCCACCACATGTATTCTCCCATTCAGCTTTTTCTTTAACAAATATTTACTGGGCACCCACTGTGTAATCAGTAGAGGATTGAGAAATAAATCAGACACATTTTCTGTCCTTACAGAGTAGAAGTGTAAGTAGACTCGCAATGCATTCTAAAAAGAATGCAGGGAAAGTGGCAAAAATGGGGGCACGCCCTGCACAGTTTGAAGGGAAAGGCTGTAGGGGGAAACATATAAGAGAAGCAGGTGCTTGAACTAGATTTTGAAGGAGGATGAAGGTTGACCAGGAGAACAAAAAGGAGAAGGAAGTCATTTCAAGCAGATCAAGCAGATGGAACAGCTTAGGCAGAGGCCTGAAGGTGTGCAGTAGCTGGATGTATCTGCTGATCCCAGGTGGTTTGATGTTGCCCAAGAGCGGGCCAGAGGACTGCCATCTACTGTGCTGTACTAGGGAACTGAATCTTATTCTCAAAGCATTCAGTCAATATTGAAGGAATTCAAACTGGAGAATGGTATGATCACTGCATATTTTCAACAAATCTCTCTGTTTTCAATTCCTTATTTTGAAATACTTATGGATTCACAAGAAGTTGCAAAAAAGGCACAGAGAGGTCCCAGTCCCCTTCACCCAGCTTTCTCCATGGTTATATATTTACAAAACTATAATACAGTATCTAAACCAAGAAATTTGGCATTGGTACAGTGTGTATACAGTTCATTTTCATTTACATGTGAAAATTCATATAACCACTTCCACAGTCAAGATTCAAAACTATGTTATCCCAAATATCTCCTTGTGCTACCCCCTTACAGCCATACCACCCTCTTTTCGTCACCATTCATAACTGCCAACAATTACTAATCTAGTCTACATCTCTATACTTTTGTCGTTTCAAGAATGTTATATACATGGAGTTATACAGCATATGACCTTTTAAGATTGACTTTTTTCGTTAAATAACTGTCCGTGTGATCCACCCAAGTTGTGGTATGTTTCAGTAGTTGCTGAGTGGTATCTCATGGTATGGGTATACAGCAGTTAGTTTAACTATTTACCCATTGAAGGATGTTTGGGTTGTTTCTAGTTTCAAGCTA